CAAACGCGATTTTTCGGTATCGGTATTTTCGGTAAAAATACCGCGGTATTACCGAAAAATACCGCGGTAATACCGTACCGTGACCAACTCTAGTTCCGACCCACTTCTGATCCGAATGTTCAACCAATTTTAAATTTGGCAAAAAATTTCTTTAAAGATTAGCCTCTAATGGTCATTCAGTTTATGTTTTGGATACTATATTTTCAATTAACATATCAAAATTAATTAATTATCATCGAGCACAATTGCCACAAGACGATGAAGGGGAAGAAGCTAAAAAGGCTTTTGCTGATTTCCTTTGGTGTGAAACAGATTCTTCTGTTACTCTTGATGAATTTTTTGAACATGGAGACAATAAAATTGGAATATTAACGATTAACCACACAGAAAAGGCAAAAATAAAATTAAAATATTTTTAAATAATTTTTAAAATTAAAAAAATCTAATCCGGAATTATCAGAAATATTTTTAAAACTTAATTTTATTCTCCTGATTCTGTTTTAATTATAATTTTATCTTAACCTACATATTTGTTTATTTTTTTATTGTATTAACAATTTCTTCTCAATAGCTTTAAAAAATTTTTAGAAATTGTTAGATTATTTCAAGTATATTATAACATTATGCTACATTGACCTATCTGTACATTTTGAAGAAAGGAGGAGAAAAATAAAATGGTGCAGAATAATGCCAGCATCATATTTTGAAAATAATTTCTATTTTCGTCATTTTGTTCTATATTTTATTTTAATTTACATATTTGTTAATAATTTATTTTCTATTTTATTTTTAATTGTATGTATTAATCAATCTCTTCTTAATAATTTTGAAAATTTCAATGAATTGTTAGATTATTTCAATTCTTTTCTCTTACTTAAAAAATCTACGAACTTTTCCGTAAGCTTTTTAAAAATTCCCGATCCTTCTCTTTAAATGAACAATTCCTTTCATTTAATTTTCAACCATACTTCAGGCTATCTCAACATAATCATTCAGTTTTTGTGCTTTGGACTTTTTCATTCCAACCACCTTCTGTTAAAACAAAAAATATAAATATTATTCTATCTCCAATACCAGAAAAGGAAAATGAAGATAAATTTAATGCAGAATATATTTGGAACAAAACTGTTGGAAATGCTTTAGAACAAGTTTTAATTCCGGTAAATATGGGAGGAAATAAAGACATGGGTCAATTACTGGAAATACATCAATCAAAGGCAAAATTAATTTTATAAATAAAATTTAATTAAATCAAAATATTTATGTTATTTCATTCTCAGTTAAATATTTAAAGAATCCAATATAATAATAAAAATCTTAAATATAATTTAAGAATAAAATTAATTAATTATTCCAAATATTATTTGTCCTTCATCATTATCTATTTAATTTATTTTGTTTTTATTTCCGATTAAATCCTTTAAAAACTTTACTTTCTCTTTTTTATTTTTAAATAAAATATCTATTTATTTTCCTCTGTCTATGTATAAAGCCTAAAAAACATTTTAGCTTATATAAAATTCTTTGCCCGCTTTCTGGACTTGCAAATGCATGGAAAAAGAAGAAATATTAGCTAAAAATTGGTTTTCTTTCTTTCTTTCTCTTTTCTAATATGAATGCCACAACCCGCCCCTTCACCGACTTTTATTCATTTTTTTCTTTCACAAGCATTCAACCAGAAAAATATTCCTTCACATCCATTTAAAATATATTGGCATTTATTTATCTTTTTATTAAACTTTTTTTATTGTCAAATAAATATATTACATAAAATTTAAATTTCTTCCATTAAAATATTTCCACAAAAATATACTGTAAAACCCCATTCTGACCAATCAAATAGGAATATCCTAAACTTCAATTAAGCTTATTCCCTTTTTTCACACATAATTTCAAATATATAATAAATAAATGAAATAATATGAAAATTCAAATGTTAAACCAAAACTACCATCCTCATCACCATAATCAGCACCAACAACACCACCACCAACAGCAACATTTATTAAATTCAACAAAAAATCCAACCACCAATTTATCTATTCAAAAACAATATTCCTTCCCTTCTTCACGTTTAACTCGAATACAATTAAATAAAATAAATTTAAATGAATTACGTCAAATAGCAGAAAATTTAACAAAAAAAGTGGAAAAAGCAAATTCAGAATTAATGGCACTTTTAGAGGCTAGAGACACACTTTCTATGAAAAGGGATGCGCTGGCAATAGAAGTCCAAGACCTTAAAGAAAGGGAAGAAGAAAAATTGAGGAGGGGGCATCAATAAAAAATGTTTATTTTTAATACTACTACATATTTTTTGCAATAAAAACTTTAAAAATTAATTAAATTTTTAATAAAAAATATTCTTTTTAAGTATGTATATAATTTTATTTTATTTATTCAATTAAAAAATAAATAAATTCCCTTTTTAGCTATTACATTATTACATCCGGACTCGATATTATTCATATTTATTATTCATTCCCTCATAGATTTTAGAAATCGTCTCATTTTTTGTGTTTTTTAAAAGCCCTACATTCTACCATTTTTTTTAAATTTTGTTAGTAAAATTCAATTAGCATTATTTTCTTCAAATATTTCTCATTTCCTTCTCAAGTTTTTTTCATTTCTCAGAAAATTATTTTTTTAAATAAAATATTTACAATGTAAATTATTTTAAATTAAATTATTTAAATATTTATTGAGAATTTTAAATTATAAAATAAATTAAATTTATGTTTGTGTATTAAAAAGGTGTAAAATAAAAATTTTAAAAATTTAATAAAAAATTAAATTAAAATCTAAAAATAAATATTAATTTTTCTTTGAATTTTAAAATATAAAATTTAAAAATTTTTTGTTTAAGGTTGTTGAAATAATAAATTCTGATTGGGATTTAATTATTATTGATGATTTATTTTGGACATTTGGATTTGCCCTTACAACATTAAAACATCGTTTATGGGAAAAGAATGGGAGAGGAGGAGGAGGAAAAGAAACAAAAAGTATTGTTTATTCAACTGCTGGCCAAACACTTTTATCCGCAGAATTTATTAAATCTACTGGTTTTTGAAACAAAATATTTTTTAAAAAAATATTTAAATTTATTTAAAAAGGCCGTGATTGGGTGTCTAAATCACCATTATTTCCGTTTATTCCAACTGATAAAAATGATGCATATACTCCTAGACGTTTTACACATAGATTACACGCTTTATTTGAAAATGGAGCTGAATATATTTTAATGAATTGGATTGGTTGGTAATTTCTTTAATAAAAATAAAATAGGTATGTGTAAAATATTTTGATATAAACAAAATTAATAAACTATAGTAATTAATAATGAAACAAAAATTAGAAGAGATTTTTCCTCGATTAAATTAATTATTTAATTAAAAATAAAATTTTTTAAGTTGAACAATTTTTAATGCCAAATATTGCTCGTTTTGGTGTTCCAAATTTTACTTGGAAAGAATTATATACTCGTAGTTCACTTCAATTATCTGATTCTATTGACCGTTTGGGGTGGCCACTTTCTAAAGGACCAGAAATGATTAATATCGGCGCTCATTGTAAAAATCCAGGGAAAATGCCAGAAAAATTTAGAAAATTTATTGAAGAAGGAAATTCTGAAGGAACAATTTATGTTGCTTTTGGAACTTATCCAGAATGGAGTTTAGCCCCAAAAAGAATTATTTCGGCATTAATTGGGGCTTTTGAACGATTAAATAAATTTAAAATTATTTTTGCTTATAATGGACCTCCAATTAAAAATTTAAATAAAAATATTTTGTTAACTAAATGGGCACCTCAATTGGAGATTTTAGCACATCCAAAAACTAAAGCTTATATTACACATGGAGGATTGAAAAGGTATTGGTATTCTTTCTGATATTTAATTTTAAAATTTAAATTATTTAAAGTGTAAGAGAAGGTTTATGTTCTGGTGTTCCTTTAATTTTAATGCCTTTATTTGCTGAACAAGCACACAATGCTCAACAATTATTGGTTATGGGTATTGGACCTGTAATTAATAAATATACTTTAACTGTTGATTCTGTTTATTCAACTATATATTCGGTAATTAAATTAAAATTAATTTTTTTTTCTAATCAAAATTCAGACATTTTAATCTTTTTTTTTATCAAACTTAACAAAAAATCTTTTTATTTCTTGCAGACAGTTTCCAATTCAAAAAATATTTTAATTTCAAAACGTTTTCGTTCAATATTTCTCGACAGACCAATTAAAGCTTTGGACGAAGGATTATTTTGGATAGAAAGAATTACTCGTTCAAAGCCTGGAAGAAAAGTTTATTTTGAACGTAAGGGGATTAATTTAAATTGGATAGAATTTTTATATTTTGATTTTGTTATTTTTGTATTTATTTTTATTTTATTAGTAATTTTTTAAAAAGTTTAATTTTTATTCAAAATTTAATTTTTTTTTGTCTTAAAAAATTAAAAATTCTTGTTCAATTTAGTTAACTTTTATTGTTAGTTACTTCAAATTTGTTCTTAAAAAGATTATTTATAAATTTATTTTTTACTTACATCATTTTATTTAAAAATTTATTTATCTTTGAATTAATTTTTTTAGTTCTGATAAGAATTACATATTTTGTAGTTTATATATTCTTCAAATATTTTGTGATAAAATTGATAAAATAATTTTCTGTCTAATTTTTAAATAATAAATATAACCACAAATAATGTTTATTTTTAATAGATTTAAATGACCTTTAATGAAAATTCAATATTCTAAATTTAACAATTTAAAGAATTATTTTAATTTCTTATTTTGTCAAAAAAACAGAATATTGTTGTTAATAAAAATAATTTTTGTTATTTAAACTGTAAATAAAAAATGCAATATTAATATTTTTTGTTTAAGTTTAATTAATTTGCTAAATTCTTTTAAAAATTATTATACATATCTCAACTAAAAATAATTTGAAATTAAATTTATAGGAATAAAAAATTATTTAAAAATAATTGTTTAAAATGCGGTTTAATATTATTATTGTAATAATTTCTTTAATTATTTCATTTGTTCTAACACAAGAAAGGCCTTATAAAATTCTTGTAACACTAGCTGCAGATTCCCAAAGCCATCTACGTTCAATGCTTCCTTTAATTAATAGGTAAAAATAATCTGAGAAATTTACATAATTTTAACATCTAGCTAGAATTGTCTGTTCTAGGAATCAGACCGCAGAATTTAGGGTCTTTTTTTGGTTTAATTCCGAATATCCAAAGAATTTCTTAGAACCAACAACCTTTGTCATATAATAAATTTATTTAATTTATTACACATTAACCATAAAAAAATATTTTTTTAAGTTTAGCAGATGCTGGTCACCATATTTATATTTTAAATATTTTCACAAAGGAAAAACCTGAGAAATATTCTAAAAATGTTTCTATTATACGTGTTCCTCTTGATATTGCTCTACAAGATGATGAACAAGTAAAGGATATGCAAAAATTAATGTGGGACTATACTTTACATTCTCCAATGCTTTCTTTAGTTTATAAGATGGTTGGAAAAGTACTTAATGAAGTTACTACAAATCGGTCTGAAGAGGTCCTATTTAAATATTTATTTACCCTTCTAGTAAAGGATTGAAATTCCCTAGGTAAAAATAAGGCAGGTAGAGACAGTAGTATTAAAATTATTATAATATTAAGTGTTAGAAGGACACGTTTTTATTTTTAAAATTACATTTTAATCCCAACCAGATTTTTAAAAAAAAATTTTCTTTAGTTTACCCAAATAATAAACTCAAAATGGGATTTAGTGCTTGTATCAGAATTATTTAATTCACACGGTTATTCAATTGCTAATTTATTACATGAACGTGATAATGTTCCTTATGTTATATTTTCATCATCAATGATTATGGGTATGCATGCTTGGACAAAGGCTGTAGGTAAGTACATATAATTAAACCTTTATTTTTCAAAATTATTTTTAGCATATAATTGGGTATCTCACCCACACCCATTTTCGCCTAACCCCGGAAGCGGCACAGACGGTGCTTTTAATCCTATTTATTTTCATCATAGATCTATTCACAGTCTTGAAGGAATGGGTGATTTAATAACAGAACCAGTCACCGGTCTTTATTTTCAAATAATTCCAAAAAATAATTAAATAATAGATTATTATATCAATCCAATTTTTACTCGTTTTAATGGTGGAAAAAACTTTAAATTCTCAAAATTTATCACTCAGAGTTCAGCTACATTTGTTGACGCAATTGAATATTTAGGGTTTTCTCAACCAGGTAATTTACTTGAATAAAAATTAATTTTTATTTTTTATGTAATTTAGAGATCTCAGAAATGTATAGAATTGGTGCTCATTGTGAAGAGTCTTCCAAATTACCGAAAGAATATTTAAATTTTGTTGAGGATCCAAAATCAAAAGGTGAATATTTAAAGAAAATTTTTTAACCAAAATTTAAAATTAATTTGTTTAGGCACTATTTATGTTGCTTTCGGAACAGCTATTGCTTGGGGGAATGCACCCCCTCACATTATTGAAGCTTTCTTCACTGCTTTTTCAAAACTTGCTGATTATCGAATTATTTTTGCTTTCAAAGGGTCTAAAGAATTTTTAGAAAAACGTGAAAAATTACCACAACATATTCGAATTGTTGAATGGGCACCCCAATTAGATATATTGGCACATTCAAAAACAAAAGTATTCCTAACACACGGTGGACTAAAAAGGTTGGGGAAAAGGAGTGTAAAAATGTAATTATTTAATTAAATATTCTTGTCAGTGTTAAAGAATCAATTTGCTCAAAAACACCAATGCTTGCAATGCCAATTTTTGCAGAGCAGAACCATAATGCACATATGGTTTTGAAATATGGAATAGGAATTGCATTGAGTAAGGTTGTGAAAAGAAATTATTTCTTCAAAGCCCCATTATTTAAAAAATGTTTTTCTCTTTTTTTCAAGTTTGATACTAATGCCGAAAAGTTGTATACAATTCTAAAAGAACTTTTGGACAATCCAAAATATGGGGAACGAACAGAAAAAATGCAAAATATTTTCCTCGATAGACCAATTTATGGATTAGATGAAGGTGAATTTTGGATTAGAAAAATAATTAAAAATAGCAAGACAAAAAGAAAACATTTTTTTGAAAGAAAAGGAGTTGACATAAATTTAATTGAATATTTTCACTTTGATATAATATTTTTATTTTTAATATTTTTATTTATCCTTTCAAAATAAAAATAAAAACATGAGCACATATCTTTTTAGATTATTTATTAAATTCACAACATTGGAATTTTCTTCGGCCCATACAAAAGAACATAAGCACCTAGAAATAGAAAAGTTAATGTTTAACATAAAAAATTATATTCGATAGGGAGGGGATAAAAGATTGCCGTTTTATTATAGATTAATAAGGGCGATTAAATATTAATTAAAATCACTATATTCTTAAGTCATTACAGAATAGAATCCAGACCCTTTTAAGATATATTTAAATGTTTCAACATTCATAAAAATATAACTACTCCAAAGACCCCAAAATTGATAAATTATTTTTAAAAAAACTAACAATGCCAATCACCACCACCCGACAATTTAAGAATTTCTGCTTCGGATACTGGATAAACATCTGTATCATCACAGGCTGCCCATTTTGAATTCCCAACGTTCTCTTGATTGTTGTTTTTTGTATTCTTTTCCTCAACATCATCATCACCATCCCCAACACGTATCCACGCAACATAATGACCAGAATTACTTGCCCGGCCTTTATGAGTTATTAAGGCCTGAAAATAAAAAAAGATTTAATACAACTTTTTTAATTTTATAATTTAAAAAAAATTGCGTTAAGAACGCCAAAATTTTGGCACACACCCCATTTTAGCCGGACTGAAATCAACCCATGGCAACACCCTTGTCTCTAACCCCTACCAATCAAATTTTTATCATTAGTATAAATCAAAAATAAGTTAAGACTAATTTAAATTCCAACCTTTAACTCGTAAAATCCACTATTATTTGAACCAATATCATCAGAAAATGTATTTGGATAAAATCCTTTTGGTGTTAAACAAGGTTTTTTGGCTTCAGGATCTTCAGCTAGCTTTGCATTACGTAACATTTCCATTCGAGTTTCTTCATATTCCTTAAAGAAATAAATTTAACATTACCAATAAGTTATTTAAAAATATCTACACTCAAGTGTTGACGTGCCGGTTTTAATTTTTCTTGTAATTCGGGTGTGCAAGTGTCATACATATCCAAAACCATTGGAAATTTAACGTCTTTGAGTATTTTTGCATTAATCTGAAATTTTTAGTTAACCAAACGAAAAATAAAAAAAATTAACATTTTCTTTCTCCTTGAAGAAGAATCGCACAACTTGAACAGACAAATAAGCAGGAAGTCTATCAATAAGAGAACTCTTCTCGTATTTTGCATCTCGACCCAATTCTTCAGATTGTTTTTCAATTTCTTCAGTCATTTTGCATTTAATTCCAGATTGGATATACCGAACAGATTGGCTAAGGAAACAACTTGCCTAAAAACAAAAGAATTTTAAAAGATAATTCAGTAATTACCTGATATCCCGTTTCCTCACTTGTTTGCACTTCTTCAGTTGACCCCTCTTCCAAACATTTAGTTTTTACTTGATATTTAATTTCAAAGAATTTTTTCAACCGAATTTGGTTTTCATTATTTGAGGAACCCGTATTATTCTCATTGTCAATTGGAACAATTAACTCATCAGAAATTAAACGTAGCAATTCACAAAAACATTCATTCGCGTCTTGTTGTTCACCTAATTCAAATTGCGGGAAAATATTGTGAAGAACATGCAAAAACAATAATGGAGTGACTGTTATGGTTTGGTCAGATTCGGTTAAATCTGCCGCAATAACACGAGGGCGAGAAGCGCCAGAATCCATTTGTTCGTATAACTTAAATATTTTATATAAAATTTAATAAATTTCATACCTTTTTAAGCATTTTTGTAATATCTGCAGCATGAGAATTTTCGTTTTCGTTTTGTCCACCACCCGTGTATTTTTTGATTGCTTGATTTAACTCTGGGATCACCTGAAAATAATTTTTAAAAAAAAACATTGAAAGTGCAAACTTTAAAGCACTGAATTGTCGCATTCATATAACAAGTATTTCCTAAGTTTGCCAAGCCAGCAGGCAAAACAATGTGAGATTCCGTTTTAGCCTTTTTCTCATTTGATTCTTTCTCTTCCAAATTTTCTGTATTAACATTAGTGGATTCTTTGGTCGCTAAAGCAGATCCCCCCATAAGCATTATAGTTGAACCATCCTTAACGGCTATTCCATTCCAATTCTCATCTCCTATTGCTTTGCCCTTAAAAAAATATATGAACATTTTTGTGAAAGGTTAGGGTAATTTTGAAGGCCTAAAAAATTTTTTATTTTATAATCACAAGTTAATTACCTACTTTAATTAATAATTTTTGACGCTCCGGTGGAATTTCAGTTAGAGCAAAAAGCTGAGCCTTCAGAAGCATTGGTGACTCATTTAAATCAACCTCAACCGCGAGTACTTTAGACCCGCATCTAACATTTATTTTAGTCATTTCTTCGGAATTTAAAATAAACCACCAAAATTAAAATAATATTTTTACCAAATCTAAAATTAAAATTAACAAAAAGAAAAAAGAAAAAAAATGATGAAAATTAAAAAATGTCAAAATTGGATTCAATGCCACAAAATAATTTTTAATAAAAATTTAAAATTTTTAAAATTTTCTTTAATTTTTCGGTTTTGTTTAGTAAAATCGGTTTGTTTAGTAAAATGATGAAATGGTGTTGTTATGTTATAATGGCATAAATAATCTGTAAAGAAACAGATGAAAACAATTAATTACTTGAATTATGGCAAAAAGTCAGCAAGACTCTTTTGTCTTTACATTTATTTTCAGTCTCAGCACAAACCTAAACCTTTAGGCTTGCTTGTCAATAGAGTCTCGGCGGCTTAGCATCGAAACGCCTTTTTCTATGCCATAACTTTTTTTATTTCGATCATTTCCAGAAATTTTCTTTATCAATTAGAATCTATATTTGTTTTTATTCTTTTTGTTAACTTTATGAAAGGATCCGATCATTTCTTAGAAAGTTACACCCGCCTAAGTATGTTAAATCACGATTATTCGCAGTTAACGGCTCCTAACTTTTTTGAAAGACGGTAAAACTAAACAATTTATATGAAAAAATAACCAGCACATCCAGAGCTTTTAATTAAAGCAAAAATTATTTGGATTGATTTAAAAACAAAAAAGTTATATCCCAAAAACTTCCGTTTTGATGCCATATTTTAAGACTCTTTCGTTACCTGGTTACTTTTAGTCTAAACCTTTTGAAGCCTAAACCTTTAGGTTTTTAAACATTTGAGTCTCACCACGTCTTCAATTTTTTTAATTCTAACTTTTTTAATCGTTTGTTCTTCTTAATTAGTGTATAAAGATGAATCAGAACTGATTTTCTGGTAATAGAAATTCCACAAATTAAGAATCACATAGATAATTTTTGAATTTATTTATGAATTCCTTGGAGAATTTCATTCCTGGATGGAATAGAAGCGATGTTGGAATTTCGTCAACCCAAACGGCCCTCTTTAGTGCCACAAATTTAATAAGTGAGATGAGGACAATGACTTTTATTTTTTGATAAATTTGTTTATTTGACTCATTTCTTAAAAAAATTCGTTCCCTGAAGATAAAAAAGTCGAGACCATGCCCTCACCCTAAGACCGAAAAACATCAAGAAAAGTCTAGAATCAAGACTTGGCAACTTTTTAGAATGTTCATCAGATCGTAGGAACTGAGAAAAACCACAAAAATCGCAAGAAAAACTGGTTTTCTAGGTCCGTTTGGAAAAAATGTATTTCAAAAATTTTATTTTTCTGCACGCAATTTTTCAACTTTTAATATTTTTTCTTATTATTAAATTTTTTTCCAAATTTTGAGGTTGTTATAGAAACCATTAAAAACTTGTAAATTTTAGAAGTGTGGTCATTATTTTGAGCTTCGACAAATCTTAAGAATTATATAACACTGACTACTTTTAATTTTCAGGTTTCTTAATTCCTACCAATAAAGTCTATATATTTATGAGTGTTTTGTTGTCATCGCGTAAAGTGTTTAAATCACATCATTTTCCATTTCTGGTCAAAAATATTCGTTTATATGCTTCCAGTAGTGGTGAATTGCCCGGAGCTGGAACTTCTACTGGCATTGAACATGCAATGAAATTCAAGCAAGTTGGCCAAAACAATAAACAGTCCTTTGATGATTATAAATGTATTGAGTATTTGAATTTCAATAAGGACTCTTACTACGATATTGAGGTATTTTTAATAAATTTTTTAAAGATTTATTTTAAACCAGTGTGAACTTAAAAAGTTTCGTGCACCACAACCTTCAAATAAACAACCTGATACTGAACCAGCGTTCAAAACAAGTGAATAGAAAGGAACTTTTGATTTATTAGGATATGTTTAAAATTGTTTGTTTAAAATTGAAGGTATATACATAAATGTTTTGATATTTTGTCGTTTTTATTTTAAATATTTGTTGAGATTACTCTAAAATTTTATTTTTTTGGTGTGTTGATTAAATTATAAAATTTTATTTTTTATTTTAAAATGTCTTGTAACGAGGAATCTTATGTAATTACTTCTGATTTGCTTACAAAATGGATGCAACTTGGATTGGGCAATGAAAGTTTAGATGCTGAATTAACTCAAATAATTGATAAACATACAGGAAAAAATTTTCCGGTTATTCAAGACGATCAAAGACAGGTTTAAAAAATTTTCTAAAAAATAAAAAAAATTTTTACTCGTTTTTCTAATTCTCCGTTTATTTGAAGAAATCTTAAAAAATAAAAAAATATTCCAAATTCTAGGCATTTGTCACATTTATCTTCCCTAATGATTTTACTACAAAAATGTTTGAATTTGAACGTTCATCAGTTATTCGATTAAATTTTCTTCGAATTTGTTTACGCGATAAAAGCTTGGGTGAATCTAATGTTTTGTCTTCAATTCTCCCAATATTATTGAAAATAACATTTTTGGATGGAAATAATGTTAAATTACAAAATTCTGCAAAAAGTTTATTTTTTATTTAATTTTTATTAATTTTTTAAATTTAAGTTTTGCTTGAAGCTAATAAATGTTTGGTTAATTTTCTTTTCAATTCTTCGGTTGGAAGAGCACATTTTAAGTATGAATATTTTTAAAAAATTCAAAAAAAACTTCATTTTTAGAGAAGAACCTTTTAAACTTTTAATTTCTCGAATTTCCTTTGTCGGCCCTATCCTTAAAGGAAAAAAAGAAATTTTATTTTCAAATGAGAACAATGGAACTTTTGTTTATTTAAATAATTGGTCTCAACAAGAATTGGAGGAACTTCTTTTGTTGGATATGAAAATTGTTTTTGTTGTGAGTGCACAAGAAAGGCAGCTGCAAGTAACGTCTTTTCTTATGGCAAAATTTAAATTTATGAAACGAAACAGCGGAAGATTCCAAAATTGGAATTTATTTTGAATTTTTGGCTTATCGTGAACTTCCTTGAAATTAGTTTTCGGCACAGTTCGGTACTACCGATAGTAACGACTCGGTACTATTCGTATTGGAAAAATCTATTTGCCGAACACTACTTGAAATGTCCATCTGTCTCTCTACTTTTTCATTTTAGTAATTGATTAGATGTCGATTTTCGAATTTTCGTTCCACAAAATTAAATTCGCATATCTGCCAATATTTCATAAAACTACTAAATATTTTAAAAATTTTTTCTCTTTAGCTTGATTGTCAAAAAGATGTTAACATAAATAAAATACTTCAAGAAATAATTTCAAATTCATTGGATAAATTAATTGAATCCCCATCTCCTTCAGACAGTGTTTCTTCTATTCGTCCATTTATAAACGAAGCTTTGCTTATTTTATTTAATTTTTATCATCAAATTGTTTTTCAACAGCAACCTCTAGATTCCGTTAATTTTTTAAAAAAAATATTTTTTTATTTTAAATTCTTTTAGAATATAATTCAATTATTTTTAAATGAATGTCAACGTATTTTACAAAATTCTTTTCTTGATATGGAAATTAAACAAAATACAATTAATTTTATGGCTACAATTCCCAATACTTTGTCGACGCTTTGTCCAAAGGTTTTAATTTTAAAAATATTTTTAAATTATATTTTTATTTATAGACTGAGGATTCTACTATTTACAACCAAAATAAATTAATATTTGAAGGTTATGATGTTACTTTTTTGGACAAATTACTTGATATATTAGAAGAACATATTGATCAGGTTTTTATTTTTACCAAATAATTTTTATTTTTTAGTATGAAAAAGGGAATGTTCCTGCGTTTAGTGAACATCTTGTTATGTTTTTGAGAATGATGACTACCCTTTGTATGGATCATAAAGTTGCAAGACGGTATTGTCGATTGAAAGTAATTAACTTTTAAAGTTCTATTTTTAGCTTATATATTTTTTAAATAATTTCTACTCTTAATAATAATGTTTAGGTTATTCCTCCATTAACAGCCGAGGACGTTAAGTATCGCCCTGATGTGGGTTCATCATTCAGAAACAAACTTGTTCGTCTGATTTCATCAATTGGCGCCCTTTCTAATGCGTCCGCAGATTTTCTTTTTGTGCTTTGCAAACGTTCAGGTTTTTTTAATTCACTAAATTTATTTTTTACTTATTTTTATTCAGCTGGACGGCTAGTCAAATACACCGGATTTGGTCATGCTGCAGGATTATTAGCCGATCGAGGAATACTTGGAAGAGCTCTGGCACCAAAACATCCATCTGACAGTGAAGACTCGGGGACTGAAGGATACAAAGAAGTGGAAAATGAGTAAGGAATGAATTAAATTCCTGTATTTTATACTTCCAGAGTAAATCCCGTTACTGGTTACATCCCTCCAGCTGGTCAAATGGAAGAATTTCGTAAGCAATTTGAATCTATGAGCGAAGAACAAAAAGAACACGAGGCTATGAAACTTGTCAATGCAATGGATAAACTTATGGATCAGGGTATTATTACCCCAGGCACAGTTGGTGAAGACGGACGCGTTAGACAAGTGAAGCACGTGGCGGAATTGATAAAAGATGTGGAAAAAGTTGATGAGAAAGAAGATAGCGACTAACATGGTTAAATAACTCTTGAAGAGCCAAAATATTTTTCATTTAGTTTTTAATCTTTCTAATGCCCAAATTCTTCTACCTATACTAGTAGTAATTTTTGATCTCCCAAATTTTTTAAATATTAGTTGAACTAATTTTAATTATAAAAGATCAAACATTTTTATCCTTTTAATGTCTTTGGGTATGACAATTATATACTATAACAATTTTTGTTTTAATAGCTTATAAAAAGCAGGGCTGCATCCGAAATCGATCTGCTGCAACCCTGATACGAATTCTCTCTTTAAAATTTATAACAAAAATAAGATTGAAGTGAACCTCACAAAATTTGATTGTGATAACAAACTAGAAATCAATAACCTTATTACTCATAAAAATCTGTGTGGGAGTATACCATTCAAAAATCGTGGGCATCCAATTTTCTGGGCATAGTAAATTTACGTATAGAATCATCGGTTATTTGTTTTCGACATTCTTGAAGTTTAGCTACAACACTTTGAACTAAATCAATTGCAATTTTCTTAATTTCACCAGATAACATTTTTCCACTTGAATAATCCTAAAATAATATAACCAAAAATATTTTTAAAATAAAATAATTAACCTCTCTAATTTGTTCCAATTTTTGATCATCTTCTAGGAAAAACCGTAAAAATTGAAAGGAGATGTCAATATCGCAATTTCCTCCAAACTTTCTATGTTCTTCAATTGTATCACGACCTCCACTAAAGGCATATTTATTAATCTAAAATTCTCTTTAATTATTTTGAATTTAAAGCTAGAATCAATAAAACCAAAAAAATCTTTCTTAAAAAATTAGGATAAAAGTAATTTTTACTTTTACCGGACCCGAATTAAATTCCCTATAAAGATGAATAAACCTGGCTCACCCAGAAACGAAAAAATCTAGCCCAAACTCAGATTTGGGTTTTTTGAGGCTCGTCTTAAAACAGAGCCTACTCCCTCATTTTAAAATACTTTAAAAATTAAAAACCTTTGTTTTTATTTGTTTTGGTGTATCATCAATATAAATACAAGAATTTGCATCACTAGCAGCCATTTTACTTTGTCCACCTTGTAACGATGGGAGAAAATTACTACAAATTAATGACGGTTTAGGGAATTTTAAACGAGGTGCTGCATCTCTACACATTCGAAAGAATGGATCCTAAAATTAATTTAAAAAATTAAAAATCTTTTTAAAAAAAATTTACTTGATCTATAGCACTAGGAATTAAACAAGGAATATCACGACGTCCATTAAAAATTTCAGGAAAACTACTAGAAAAACATGGGGCAGCCTCTATTGCCGGAAAAGCAATTTTTCCAATTGAATCTTCCCCGGTAAAACCAAAAATTGCCCGTGCTTGATTATTTGTGACAACTTTCCAAATACGAAGAACATTTTCATAAAAAGCTGAACTAAAAAAAAGTTTTTAAAAGAAAAAATATTTTAAGAAATAAATACCACATATATTCAGAATTTATAAAAATAAAAGTATTTTTTGGATCAAATCCAACAGAAAGAATATCTTTAATATTTTGTAAAGCTAATTTCTTTGAATCTTCTAATGTTAAATCTTTCCAAAGAAATTTCTCATCATCCGTTAACTAAATTTCTCGTCATTTGTTAAATAATTTAAAAAAACCTGAATTATTAAGGGAACTTTAAAAGCATCTTGTAAAGCTTTTGTAAAAAAGAAAGGGATCAAATGTCCCAAATGCAAACTTCCACTACTCGGTCCTCGACCAGTATATAAATAAAATGGTTTGTGTTGTTCGAAAAGGTCGAGAATATAATTAAAATCCCTAAAATTGGTAAAAGTAAATTTCCTTTTAAAAAACCTGTGTGCAAAGAAAATTTTTCTTTTAAGAAGAGGATGCGCTTTATGTCCAGTCAATTTCTCAAAGCGAACAATAAGGTCTTCGGTTACGTTGCTGCAACCAAACCTTTCTAAATATTTAAAATATAAATTGTTTTTTAATTAAAAATTTACTTATAAGCTTTTCATAATCAATTCCCGTAGAGCTAGTTGCAGTAACATTCCAAGGAGTAACAATATCATCTTTCGATTCTTCTGAGTAATCTTGAGTATCTTCACTTTTTGACATAGGAAGAGAGTGTTCGGTTTGTTCTTCTAATTTTGTGGAGTTGGAAATAGAATTAGAAAACGAGCTCATAGTGAATTTTGGCTTTTTTTAAGCTAAAATTAATTTAAAATTTGTAAATTAAAATATTCATAGTCAAAAATAAAAAAAGTCAATACATTTTTAGATTTTAAAAACTGCAAAATTATTGACGAATTTATTTTCGCAATTCGGATAAAGGCTTTAAACAATTGCATTTTGGCGTTATTTTGGCATTTTGGCGTTAGCGTATTTTGCAAATTTTGAAAAGTAGTACTGTAGGTAGTATTCTGTAAGTTGTATTTTCCTATTTTCCTCCTTATGTGATGTCACAAATGTGTTAGACATTTATATTATTGGTTTACATTTTGTTTTAAATATAAATTAGGTAAAATGTTTTTTTTCACTGGATTAATTTTTTATTTAAAACAAAAGGAAAGCCCAAAAACATTTATTCCATATTATTGTTAAAAAACAGTAAGTAGACTCATTAAATTTACAAAAATTTCCATTGGGTCAATATTTTCATCGTCAGCATTTCTTTCTGAAATTTGTTCTTGTGCACACTTCCACAGCCAAATATGAAGTTTTTCAACCGAATCAGAAATCCTTCTGTCAGCAGTTAAAGCACAACATAAAAGTAAAGCAGCTTCTTCCAAAGAAAGTGACCGGCGATATGTTTTGTTTGAATTATTATTTCCACAAAAAATAATTTTAAGTTGATCTATTCTTTCATTTGAAATGTTATTTTGTGTATTTAAACGGCCAGAACAAATTTCCAAAATTGTCTAAAAATATTATTTTTTTGAAAAAATATTTTTAATTAAAATACCAAAACAATTGAAAGACGATTTGTTAAAAGAATTTCTTTATCATTTTCTGACAATTCTCGAAATATTCCAATTAAATCCATAAAGTTATTAAGCAATTTTCGTCCTTCAACTTCATTTGAAATTGGAACAATATTTAATGGAAGTGTAAAAACTGTATTTGTGTCAGTTGTTTCTTTTTTGATATTTGATTGTGATGAATTGGTATGAGGTAATTGGTGTAGGAAAACAGTCTTTAAATTTAAAAAATTTAGACTTGATTAAGTATTAAGAATGATAGTTTTAAGTATTTTTTTGTATTTTTTATACCCCCTCTAAGGACTAATTAATTTTAAGAAAAATTTTGTATTGAAAATCAAAAAAATTATTTTCTTCTTTACCTTAAAAGCAAAAACAATTTCTTTTGTAAGTTCCATATTTTGACGCATTGATTCCAAAACAATTTCCTCTTTTTGTTCAATAACTTCACTTTTCCTTTTTCGATTCTTTTCTAACCGAACATGTGTTTGTTGCATCCCCATTCGAATACATCTAAATTAATAAATAAAACTTTTTGTTTTATTTTACTTTAATTTTTTTACCTTGCTAAGCGACAACTTTGACAACGATTACGATTATTTTTATCAATAATACATTGTCCACTCTTAGAACATTGAAAGACTTTGCAGTCTTGAATTGAACGACGAAAAAATCCCTTAAATAAATAATTAATTAATAAAAATTATTTTCTTCTTACTTTACAGCCTTCACAGCTTTGGACCTAAAAATTAAAAAAATATTTCTAAATCAATTTTTATATTTAAAAAATATTACCCCATAATGATGCCCACTAGCTCTATCCCCACAAACAACACAAGTTTCTCCTATTTGTTGTAAATGAAATTGAAAATTTTGTTGTTGTTGGTGTTGAAAAAATGCAAACATTGCTGCTGCTGTTGCTGGGCTATTATTTAATGAATTTAAAAAGTTTGGGTGAATTAAATGTTGTGGAGGGGTTAAAAATTGTTTTTGTTGGTTTGAAATTTGTAATTGAGCAAATGGAAGGTGTTGAAAAGAATTTTGTGGATTGTTAGGAGGTTGTAAATGAGTAAAGGCTGATGGAAAGTTTTTAGAAGAACTTGAAGAAGATGATGAAGAAAAATTGGAAGAGGGAGAGGAAAAAGAATTTGAATTATTTGGGGTTAAATTTTGTAATCCTTGGAAACGTTGGGGAAGAATTTGTTGATTAAATGGATGTTGAAATTGAGAAGGATGGGGAGGAGGATTAGTATATATTTGATGTTTTTGATGTATAATTCCAAAATTTGGTTGTTGTTGATGAATTTGTGGGGGAATTTGTGGATGTTGTTGTTGGTATATTTGAGTAAAAGGTACACGTTGAGGTATTGGAATAAAACTGGGAGTTGATTGGAATGAGGAAGAAGAGGAGGAGGAAGATTTAAATGAAGATGAGTAAGAAGAGGAAGAAGAAAGGTTATTAGAATCATCAATATTTGTATTAACTGTTGTTGATTTAATTTCTTTTTCATTTTTGGAAGAACCGTCAGATCGTAAAATATTTGAAACTGTAAAAATTGGGTTAAATAATTTAATTTAAAATTAATACAGTAAAACCACAGATTTATTTAGCAAATAATTTGTACCTGAGAAAGAATTTGAACGCGATCCAGGCAATGACAAATGTGGAGATGTTGCAGTCATAGGTGATGTGTGTCCAGGCGACAAAGAACTTGTTTCAGTCCCCGAATCACAATAAATTTCTTCTTTAGGTTTCTGTAGTTTCTCATTATTTTCATTTGGATATTTATTTTGTTGATTTTGAAGAAAATAAGGAATTGTTTTGGAATTATTTTGTATAACTTTCAACATTTCCTTTGGGTCAACACCTTCAATAATTTAAGGGTAATTATTACATTTAATTTTTTAAATTTACCTGATTTGACTGCAAGTTGTTTAATAATTTCTAAATAATAAGCGGAATCGCTTTGTTGTACTACTTGATTTTGGTTTTCCATTTAGAAGGATACTAATACCGAAATAAGTTTTTTGAAAACTAAATATACTTAATATTTAATTATTTTATTCCAAGGTGTGATACATAAATATACATAATTAAAGAATTAAATATAAGTCAAAGATGGTCATTGTTTGTTAAGATTAGTAGACTCCGTGCCCTCTAAGCTTTAGATAAAATCTCGGTGTCAGACTTGGGTCTTTGTAGAGAAACTTACTCGTTAGTTTTGAGCGTCGGATATACAGAACGATTTAATTAAATAAAAAGAGAATATATGTACCTATAGAGAATTCTTAAACGATAATAATAAAATATAAAAATTCTCTCTCTCTCTCTCAATAATTATTTTTCACAAAATTACGGCATATGAAGCTAGGTAATGAATGAATGTTTTTTCCTCGTTTAACAGAACAACAATTTTGGCGTGCCCTTGCAGCGCCCTCTCGTCCTTATTTTATCTATGGGCGTCCTCATCTAAGCCTTCATTTTCAACTTTATTTTTCCTCAAAAACAGTTCCTCACCGGGACTATTCTCACAGTGTCCGTTGGATTTTCTGTCTACGATGTTGATGCTGCCCGGCCGGTCATAAACAACAAGCGCAAATTCAGCCCAGCAGAGAGGAGGAGTTTGTGGAGATGTGGAGGAGGATTGGCCTTACGCAACACTCATTACGCAATCTTTTAGGTAAACGGGAAGGAAAGGACTTTGAAAAAAAGGCTGCTGTTGCTCTGAGGTCAGGTCAAATATGGTGGTGGCGCTGTAGGTAATAAATAAAAAAAACCTATATTTTTTTGAGTGAAAAAAGAGGCCTTGAAGTTTTTAATTTATTTCCCCACAGGGCTTTTCTTATCCTTTCAGGTTAAGCCCAACTAAGCAAATACATATAGACAATATCCACAGCAGGAGATAATGCCGGAAGAAAAACAAAAAATACTATACAAATAGGTATAACCTCTTATTAACTTTGGAGAGAAATTAAATACAGTCACGGACAAAAGTTAGGACGCAAATTTCCTAATTACAGGATAGAGAATTTCCTAATTTTAAAATTAGTTGAATATATTTTTGGGGAAAATAATTTTTTCAAAAATTCGGAAACAAAAACTAATTGGACATAGTTTTTTAAAATTAAAATACTCAAACATTAATAACAAGAATTTGTAAATAAAATATTTATTCACAAAAAGATTTTTGAAAGGGCGGCATGTTTTGGTCGCATTCCTCCAAGTATACAATGCTGAAGCGACAATTATTAAATTTATTATTTTTTTGAAGGGAAGGGGAAGGAGTTGAAAGCTCGAATTATTTAAACTTTTTTTGAAAGACATCTGTGTTCTTTTAAATTGTTGATATCCAAATGAAATTAATTATTGAATTTTTGAATATCATTTTGAATAAATAAATCTAAAATACAAAAATAAATTAATATAAATTCAAAAGAATGTTTAAGTTAAAAACAAAAAAATAAAATGTTAAATTTTGAATAAATGTTTTCCTTATTATTTTCTAAAAAATTTTTTTATTTAAATTTAGAAATATTTAAAAAAAACTAAAATTATTTTAAAAATATTTTTGATTTTTTTTTAAATTAAAAAAATATTTTTGGGATTTTAAAATAGAAAATTATGATAAATATAAAAAACTTTGAAGGTTAATTAAATTAAAATATTTAATAATTAATTTAAAAAATTACCTTTTAAATTAAAAATAATTTTGTAATTAATTAAAATTCAAATCAACAACATCTATTATATTATAGCCGATTGGTTAAGTCGACTCTTCCAAGTAATTTAGAGACTGTTTATTTAATTATTTTTGATGTTGTTTGAAAACAGCTAAAAATTTAAAAGAATTTTTAATTTTAATTTTAAATTTAATATTTATTTAAAAATAATATTTATATTTTAAAAATTATTTGTAAAAAATAATTTCTATAAAATTTAAATTTATCTTAAATATAAAAATAAAATTTATTTAAAGACTAATATTTTATTTTCATTTTTGAGAAGCTTTAAAAAGCCTTTTTAAAAATAAGAATTGAGAAGTGAAACAAGGAACGCCTCTTTGTTTCCTTTCCTCCTTTTTTTTCCTTCCAGACAGCCACTTTTCGTACCAGCACAAAATATGTAAGTAAAATAAAAAATATTTATTTATTCACCACAAATAACAACAACATTAGTTCACCGCCTCCTTTTTACGATTAAAAAAGAAATAAAAATTTGCAACTGACCAATAAACAAAAATCCATCTGGTTTTAATTTTAAAAGATTAAACATCAATGACCACAAAAAATAAATTATTAAAATAAAATATTAATTATAAAACAAATATATTTTTAATTTAATTATATTCAATACATTAATTATTTAATGTAGTAAAAGTATCCATTAAATGACCATTAAAAATAATCGAGTAGAGAAACAAGAAATCTCCATTTTTTTCTTTTTTTCTTTCAATAAAAATTTATTTGTAGGGCAACCAAAGATGATAAACTACTTTAAAAATAAATAAAACAGCCATTTAGTGTCAGTTGAAGGAATTTTTTTGAGAAAAACAACAGGAAATGGACAAAACAATTTTTAGGTATTTTTATGTGGTAGTTAGTACTAGTCGGGAAAAAAGAAAAGCATATCTGGCCAGTTAGTATAAGAAAAAAAGGCGCGAAGAGACACGAAATGGAACGGGGCTAAAAATTAAATTATTTGAAATAAATTTATATTTTAAAATATTTCTTTATTTAATTTTCACTTTCAAATATTATTAAAAAATTTTGGGTTAAAAATAAAAAAAGTTGTCAATATCGGATTAATACTTGTACCTTTAATAATAATTTTGTCACCAAAAGTCTACCTATTGTTAAAATGTTTAAGAGAAAAAAACTTACTAAAATAAGTTTTATTTTTAATAGAAATTATTCAAAAGAAAAGAAATAAATTTTACTTTCTTTTTAAATTAAAATTTAAAAATATTTAGTATCACAATTAAAATATAAGGGCTAGGAGTAACTTTTCAAAGTACGGAACTCTTTTAACGTATTCCGTATTTTTTATCATTCATTTCCTGTCTTACTTTTCCTCATTTTCAAAATTTATTTTTTCCAGCCCAAATAAATATAATAAACTTCAAAATATCACAAAATATAGGGAAATATATTTAAATAAATTAGTTTTCTTAATTATTTGATGTTGGAGAAGGAATTCCATTTCGTCTTCGGCCCTGTGCACCAATATCCACAAGTGGATCATTAATCCAAAGAGCCTTTAAATATTAACAATTCAAATTATTTAAAAATATTTTTACATTATTAGGATCACGTCTCCAACGTAAAAGTGCTTCTTCATCCCCATACTCTCCAGCTCCAGTCAACACAACATCTCTCCCATTATTATCTGAACCCAAAGCAATACAACGAATTGGTTTATCAGCTACTTTTAATTTCATTTGTAAAGTCATTAGAAGGGAACTTTTTCTTTAAAAGAAATTTTTAAAATATATATCTAAAAATACTACAAACATTTCTGTAGTATCAAGCATTGTTGTTGTTGCTGTTGAACCTGGAGGTGAACCTATCTTTTGGGTAATATTAGTATTTTGTATAAATTTAGATAAGGAATTTTGTCGATTTAATGTTGTTGGTAATTGTTCTGGAAATTAGAAAAAAGGTTAAAAATCATTAGAATTTAATTAAGTTGAGAACCCAGTTCGAGGAATTACCAAGATTAAAAATTTAAAAATAAAGAGAAGCGAACAAATAAAATTAGGACTTTTATTTAAAAGCCCCTTCAATTACCTCCTTCTTTAACGGCCAACAAAACTGTTGGGGGCTCTTCAAAGTCCAAATCCTTTCTTCGTATACGCAAAGCTCTCTCTTGTATATTATTAACTCCATTTGTGTTTGTAGATGTTGAAGAAGTACAAGAATATCGTCTTTTATCAATTGAGGAAGAGGATTGTTTTGGAAGGGCTTAAAATAATTTTTAAAAATTTTTAAATAAATATTTACCAGTACTAGCACAAAAACTTGCAGACATTTTACGCCAAGTATTATTTATTTGAATTAATCTAGCAAATTGTTGTTTACGTTTATATTCTTCTTCATCCTTTTCTTCTTCTTTTAAAGATTCCTCTTCAACTAATTCTTCTTGTTCTTCTTCTTCTACTTCTTCATTTGAAGAGTTTGCAGCCTCATTTGAGGATGGGATGTCATCAAACTTTAAAAAATTAATTTTGGAGATTAATGTTTATCTACTTTATGGGGGAAGAAAAAACTTTTAATTAAATAACGTTAACCCATATGGAATGGGGGGGGGGGGTAAGACTTATTGTTAGAACAAAACGTTGGTTAAGATAAAGCTGATTTTATATTTTTATGATAAATAAATCAGATCAAACAACTAAAAAAATTAGAGAGAGAATAGGAACACTCTAGTAGAAAATTAATATTTCATTCAAAATATAAATTTACCAAAAATTTTTGTTGTTTTTGTTGTAAAGGCTCAAAAAGTTTACTGCGGCGGCGAGTTGGTGTAAAATTTGAAGGGGAATCTTTCTTTGTTAAGATTGAAGTAAGTGCTGAATCAACACTTTGTTGTCCACATAAGGGCTTTTTTACGGGGAAAGAAAATTTTCTGAATTAGAAAAAAATTAATTTAAAATTTAAATAATGTGTTAGAGATTAATATGTTAGTAATTTAATTTAAATATTTAAAGAAAAATTCCAACTTTGTCACTTTTTGATGTGTTTCTGAACAATTTGAAGAACTATCCCCCTTTACAAGTTTACAAGGTTCAGTAATTGGTGGGGGTGATGTTAATTCTATATTTTCTTTTAAAGTTAAAACATTAACTGCAAAAATTAATTTTTTTTTTAATTTTTTAAAGGAAATATTCAAAACTGCTATATTTCCTCGTATGTTTATCAATTTTAACAGAAATTTTTCGAGAAAATTGTCCTTCCATAGACATACATTCCATTGAACTATTCCTTTCTTCTACACGTTTTTCATTTTCTGTTGGAATATAATAAGTTTGTTGACGGCCATTAACTGGCAATTGTTGAGCTAAACCGTGAACTGCTGATAGACGTTTACCTGGTTGATATCTTTAAAAAATATTTATTTAAAAATAAGGTCAATTATCTTCATATATTTTAAGAAGTCAATTAAAATTAATCCCTCACAAATACTTGAAGTTTTAGAAAAGTTATATATTCAAAACCTTCTAATAGATGAACGAAATCTTGTTGTTGACAATTTTGTTCCTTCATTATTTTCATTTAAATTAACTTTATAAAGCATTAAATAACCTTTAAAAATATTAACTTAAAAAATAATTTAATAAAGAATACCCAACCATCTATAGTTCCAACCCAAAGTTCATCAGAATGGAAAAGAATAGAACAAACTTCTACTTGATCTAATAATTCGTCGTGTTCATCAAAAGAGGGTGTTCTACATTTAATTTTTAAAAGATCCTTCATTAATTTTCAATTTACCTATTACTATGGTCATATCTAATATCAAAAAGCATTTCACATTGCCCATTCTGCCAAAGTTGTAATAAAGAAGAATGTGCAGTTACTAACCAAATTCCGTGTGGGGACATAGCTAAAGCACGGATTTTTTCAAACATAGGGACTTGACTTCCAGCAGCCGCTGAAGCAACATAAACAGAAGTAATTGTTGATAAGGTACTGAAATAATTTTTTAAAGATAACTTTATGTTCCCAATAAATTCTTTTTTTTATTTGTAGCTGCAAAAAATTCCAAGATGGAATTTTTCTGTTTCAAATACTACATACATAATATTACAACAGAATTATTTATTCTGTGAATTCTCAATAAAAATAATCATAACTAATTTCTCGAATTATTTATATCAAATTTAAATTCTTGAAAAATCTTAACTATCTATTTAAAATAACAATTTTGTTAGCAATTGCCAAATAAAGAAATTCTCCATCCAATAAAGCATCCGTTATTGGTGCAGCCGCTACAGGAATATGATATAAATCTAAAGCTGAAGGCATTCTTTCAAAAGCATTTTCCAAAACAGTTAAAGTTCCATTTGCCAAACAAGCATATAAACGGTGGGAATCGTGAACAAGTTTGAGGGCTACATCGTTTAATTTAAGTTCCCAAAGAATTTCTGCCTACAAAAATTTTAAATTTTAAATGTATTTTTAATTATTTAGAGACAGAGAGTATCTCAATATTATTTAGTTGTTTCCCCAAAAAGACCTTACCTATCCCTTCTATTTTATCTTTATTTATTAAAATTTAAAGCAAGATAATTTTCTTTAAATTTTCAGTCCATTACTTAAAAATATTTTTATTTAATTTAAAACTAATTTTACTTCATTCTTTTCAAAATTTTCTTCATTAGATTGATTATAATTAATTAAATGTAGAGCTACAATATAACCAGAAAGAAGGGAGACAAAAGCCATTTCGGGTGCAAATATAGCCATTGAAATTGGTCGACAATCAAACTTAAAAATTTAAAAAATTAAATATATTTTCAAAACATATTTCTTCTTTACTTCCAAATCCAAAGCATTTAAATGAACATTTTTCTCACATAATTGAACAACTGAAAGTTTGCCTCGTTTTTGATTACCAGAACAAACATAGGCACATCCTTCAACAAATGGACTAAATACAATTACCTAAAAATTGTTATTAATTAATTTATTTATTAAAACCAAACAAATAAAAATTGGTGGGGATTGTTTCGGGATATTTTTAATTTTAATGTTTAAACAGGACAGGTTTCTAAAAAATACATTGTCATATATAAACTTGATCATATAAAAATAAATATGTATAATTAATTTCAATTTACTTCAATAGGCAAATCAGCCAATTGATCAGAAGAAGAAGCAATTATTGCATTATTAAATAAAATATTATTACAACTACTCGAATTTCGATTATTATATCCATCATTATATAATTGCCTTAATTGTTGTCTTTTACTTAAACGTTCATGTAAAACTTGTAAATAAAGGTGTTGACGTTGACGTAAATATACTTTGCTTGGAAATGGATTTAAATCTTCAAATGCATATTTTATCTGTTATTTTTAAAAGAAGGAGATTTTAGTTAGAAAATTTGAAATTTAATTAATTTTTAAAATTTAAAATAAAATCAAAAATATTGAAAAATTCAAAGAATTTGGATTGTTTAAAGTGAGGAGGTGGATATTAGGTTGATTAATATATAATTCAAAAACCAACCAATCCATCAACATCCAAAGTCAATCTAACCCCAGCTTTTAATACTTTAATAACAGAAATAGTGTCAGTATGTGCAAGTATTTCCTCTTGATAAAGACCCAATAAAGCAATTGTATAACGAAACAAAACTTTTGGACCTTCCAATAAAAATGTATCCCAAATACGAAGCATTGTCTTTAAAAATATTTTTTTAAATTAAATTTAAAAAAATATTTTACTTGGAATGGAACTGCATCAAAGAAAAGGGCAATAAACCAATTAAGAGTAACCTTAAAATTAAATTAGGGTAAAAAATATATTTTAGAATTGAGTTTGGGGGAAATGTTTTTTTATATTTAAATTAAGCTCCAAATAATCGAGTATTCATTAATTATTCAAAAATAATTTAAAAAACTTGCTGTAGTTAAATCAATTTCGCATTCATCCAAATGTTCAGCCAATTGCGGAAATTTCTGTTCAACAATTTCTTTCAAAACTTCCTGATCAGCTTGAGCCCCAGTTAATGTTTGGTCAAAATAAGAAGAATCAAAATATCTTTCAGTTATTGCAACAATAAACCTTTAAAACAAATAAAATGTTTCCTAATTTTATTTAAAATCCCAACCAAAAAGCATCTTCTGGGCTCATAAATAAAAGGGCTGTAGCTACAAGGAAATTCATCCCTTGACAATAACCAATTGTTGGGTTATGGAGACAATATGCTCGAAGTACAGTTCTGAAAATTTTTATTAAATTTAAGCAGAATTTATATTTAAATGTGAAATTTCAATTTAGATATACAAAATTGTATAGTAACGACAGTAACTTAAAAACATTTCCGGGCTAGCATGAGATATGAAATTAAACAGAAGCTTTTTTAAACAATTTTAGAAATATCTGGGACGGTTTTAACTTTTAGTGAATATGACTTGTTAGTCCGGCAAATAAATCATAAAAAATGTTTTTATGATTAACCAACTCCCAAATTTTCAAAAAAAAATATTTAAAAAAATTTAATCAACTGTAAATGTGTAACACCCTTACAAGATGCAGACATAAAATGTACATTATTAGGCATAGTTCTTAACAAATCTAAATTAACTTGTTTTTGATGTGTTGCGCTAAACTAAAAAATAAAATTTCTTTCTTAAAAACAATTTTAATTAAAAAAAACATTTTTTTCATTTGGAGTTCCTTGAGAACTACATAATTCTCTAAAATAATAAGTGCCGTAATGTGCTTTTAAATCAGAAACTTGTTGGTCAATTAAAAGTCTCCAAACACGTGAACGTAAAGAACGAGGAATTCCTAAACGGCATAAATGCCTAGTTTGGCGCTGAAAATTAAATTTCAAAAAATAATTTAATTTAAAGTAAACATTTTTTTCAATTCTGTCAGGATTAGCATTAAGTAAAGCTCTCCAATTAGCTTTTAAATTAACATAATCTGCTGATTGGGATTGATAATGAGCGTGTAATTGTGTTGCTATAAAATGAAGGGCTAATGGAGCCTGAAAGAAATTAAGTGTTTTTAGATTTTCGAGAATATTTTAGAGAATATATTTAATTATTGTTTTTGAATGAATAATTAGAAATATTTAAATTTTGAAATTAAAGTTTTGAAATCGAACTAAAAGAATTTCAATTTTTAAAAAGAGCGGAATGATGGAAACTAACGGCCATTTAATCATGTTCTGAAATTAGAATTATCTTTTGTTGTTTCTTACAAACAGATAGAAATACAAGCAGATAAAAAAATATTAATTCAGAAAACTTTCAATTATTACCTCATTAAAACTATGTCTAAATCCATAGCCATCAACATGAAAAGTAGCTTCTCCCCCTTCATTTCCATTTTTACTCAGAACAGCTTCAAATGTTGGAAGTGTCGGGTCTGTTTGTCTAGCTTTTTCAAGTAATTTCCTAACCCTACGTTCATGTTCATCTCCACCATAAAGTTTTACTTCAACAATATCACAAGCACTGTTATCCCGAAGTGGAATGTGAACACAACTATTAAATATTATTTTTATTTTAAGTTAGATCTTTATATTTAGGGAAAGGGATTTTATAGACGTTGTTATATATAATCCATTCTCCACTTTCTAAATTTAAAACTAATACCTTTGCAATAAATGTATATATTCTCTTTTAAATTCCTCCATTTCCGCCTCAGATTGTGATAAACATTTTCTAAATGTTTCAATTTGTTTATTTGCTTCAGCCCTGTGTTCATTTATTCGTTCTAATTCTGATCTTAAAAATCTACTTTTTGCAATAAATTCTGAGGCTGCCAAACTTGAAAGAAAAAAATGTTTTTTAAATATGTATCATAAATTATAATATAAAATATATTGTAAAACAGTAAATAGTTGATGTAGTTTCCTAGGCCTCCAAAAATATTTACAAAATATATTTAAAAGTTTAAAATGGAGGGAGGGAAGAGGGTATTTTGAAAAAAGATATTACTTAGACAGCTCATTCACCTAGTGGACAAGCATGTTTGAAAAATATATTCTAATGTTGAGGGTATATAAATTTAGAGGCTTGACTGTACAAAAAATAATTTTTTAAAATTAATTTAAATATTACCCAACACTTCCATTTTCATCTATTAATTTCTGTGCTTTTTCAAGCTGTTCACGTAATTCCACAATTTGTTCTTTTTGTCTATTACTTAATTCTCTAAGAATTAAAAGCTCATTTTCTTCTTTATTTTCTTCAACTTTAAATTTTAGAAAAATTTCTCAAAAATTAATTACCTATACTTTTCTTAATACTTTCATTTGTTGTTGTACCCAAACTTGTACTACTATTACTTTTAATACTTTCTGTTGTTGAATGGATTCCATTTCCATTACATAATATATTTGGTAAAGGAGGAATATCTCTTTAAAAATAATTTTTTTATTAAAAAATAATCTCTAAATTCCTTACATTAATTCATTAATTAATTTATTTTTTGTATTTAAATTAATTTCTCCATTTTTCTCTTCTTGCTGTTGATTTTTGAGCCAATAATCAACTAACCATTTTTGTTCATCACTTTTCTTTTTAATATTATTTTCTTTTAAAATAATATCAGATGAAATCTTAAAAGAATTATTTTTTTAAATAAGAAAAGAGAATTCTCTATTAAAAAACCTTTTCTTCTTTATTTTTTATTTGTTGTGTTGATGAACGTGTTGGCCATTTCCACCAAGAATTTTTATTTTCATTATCACCATTTATTGTTACCCCATTATTTTCTAATTTTGTTGTTGCTTGTGGACTATTTATTGGGGAAGATGTAATTATTGCTTCTGCTAATGTTGTTGTTTCGAGTAATAAATCAATTGCTAAAAATTTAATTTTTTCTAGATAATTAATTTATTTATTATGTAAAAGATTTTTTTATTTTTTTAAATTTTCATTTTTTAATTAAATATCTTGAATATTATTTTGTAATTATTATTATTAAACTTTTCTTTAGCTTAATCGTGTGCACCCACTCAAAATATAAGTTGGAATATTGCTTATATCCTTTTAGTTTTTTTACTAAATTACTATTTAAATTCTCAGTAATTATTATGTACTTTACAAAAAATTCTCGATATTTGTAAAAAAATAATAATTTTTTTTTCGTTTTTATCAAGTTAAACTACTAATAAATAGCCTTATGCTTAATATCGTTTTAAATTTATTTTTTAGGATTTATATTTAATTTTAACTAGATAAATCCCCTTTAATTTACGTGTAGTTTTATCCTTTGTTTGTTGTAAAGTTCTAGTTCTCCCCCTTTCAAACAAAGCATTATTATCTTCTCCATCTAATGTTGCCGAACGTTTTTGTTGTTGTTGTTTTAATTTTCCATCCAAATCATTATTATTTTTATTATTATTAGATTGATCAAAAGATTTACTTCTACTTCTATGTCTTCTTCTTTGTCTTTCAATTGAAGCAAGTGGAAGACTATCTACAAAAATTCCATTTTTATCATTACAATCATCCCTTCGTTGTTGTAAAGCATTTAACCAACAATCAGCTGCACGCTCATTTTCTGCTTCTAATAAATATTTTTTCCCTGTTTCCGTACTAAAATTTAAATTAATTTTTAAAAAATAAATTTAAAACTCCAAATTAACTATAAAATAAATCCGCGCATATTTCCTTCAATTAAAGAGCAAAATGCTCCATTTAATGAAATTTGTCCTTGGCAATCCTTTCTTGCATCAAAATCTCCTTTTGTTTTATAATAAATTAATTTATTGTTAAGTTCTTCAAGTCCAAAATATAAATGTTTTCGAGTTGATAATAATGATAATGCTTTAAAGATAGAAAAATATATATTTTTAAAGGATATCAGTGAGTAAAACGGAGAAAGAAGTATTTTTAATTTTGCTGTAATCTTATTTATATAATTGCCATGATAACGGCGTTGGTTATACACCGACCCGATTCCCGAAAACCGGGAATTTGGTTTTCTGTCGGCGCGATCCCTGATACCTAGCATATAATTGAATATTTCTCCATATTACTTAAGCTAAATTGTGAATTGTTGGCTCTTGTTATAAGGGTTTATGTATTTACGAGGAATTTATATTAACGAAGTCAACCTTTTCATTAAAATATTTATAAAATTATTTAATTAAAAACCTCCACTTAAACATTTCATATACAAAAATCCTTCCAAAGAAAAACAACATTCCTCTTTAATACGAGTATTTGAAGATGCAATCATTGTTGGTGCCGTTGGGGTTAAAGGAGCAGATGAAGATAGAGAAGGTGAATAACAACCAGAAGTTGATGATGCCGGTCCTGGCAAAAGAAGAAGGCCCCCACAGTTAGAGCCAACAGGAGAGGGGGGAGGGCCATTAGACGATTTTTTAATTTTAGGTGAAGAAAGAAGCATTTCCGTTAAAAAGTACAAAGTAAGTATTTTAATTTTTAATGTCTATATGTCTGTTATTATGATGAAAAAATATATTAATATTCAATTTTAAGTTAAAAAACAAGAAAAATAATATTTAAAAAAGTATGTAAATAGTAGTAGGTATTTTTGATTTAGGGATAGGTACTTATTTTAAAAAAACTATAATAATCTTGTATATAATTTGAAGGGAGTGTTTCTTTAAAGATAGACTAGAAAAAATGTTATTAATTTATGACTGGCAAAAAATATGTACTAATAATAAAAATAAATATTTTAGCTGAACAAATTAAAATAGTAGAAATAGATAATAATAGTATTTATTGGACAACAAATAAAGCTAAAAGATGGACATCCAAAAGCGTCCCAAAAGAAAAAAAATTCCAAAAATAACAAAATTAAACTAAAATATTTACTAAAAATAAATATACTTTTTCAATTATAATTTTGTTAATATTTTTAATTAATTATTTTAAAATAATTTAAAAGAATTTAATAAAAATTAAAGTATTCCAATACAAAAAATATTTTAAAAAATTCTTTTTGAGAAAGAGGGATAAAAAGGTTTTTGTAGAAATATTGGGAAGTAATATAAAAATTGATGAAATGCTGAATAAATAAATAAACGAAAAGCTTGCTTTAATTAAAGAATTTAAAGTTTTTTTTAAATCCACGTTATTATTTAGTATTTTATTTAAAATTAATTGATTAGATAAATTGAAAAGGATTTTAAATTTTAAATTAAAAAATAATTGGTGAAGTAAAATTTTCTTAATTGATTGACTAAATAAAGATTAAAATTATGCTTTTGAAGGATAACGAGTTAAAATAATGAAAATTGAAATTTTATAATTTTTCTCAAATGCTTAAAAATAATTTAGTATAGAAAGGTTTCAGATAAATTAATGTTTTAAATTTTGAATTGAGCAACTAAATAATTATTATTTCTCAAAAACAAAAATAAATAGATTTAGAAATATGAGGAAAATAAATAAACTGCTAAGGAGAAGCTAAGGAGAATTTAAAAAAAATCTTGGAGAATTTTGTTGAGTATTTAGAATTTAATTTATTTTTAAGAATAAAGTTAAAAATTAAAATATTTGAAAAATAATACAAATAATTATAATAAGTTTATTTTATAAAAAGAGAAATGAATTTATATTTTATATGGATAAAAAATGTAAATTTATTTTAGAGGGAAAGTACAAATTTAGAAAAAGAATTTAAATAATTTTTTGATTTAAATTTTAAAGTTTTTAGAATATTTTTAATTTTTATATAAAAAATTTAGAAAAAAAAGAAAATTTAAATTATTTAATTATTAAAATAAAAAAATTAATAAATCAATTATTAATTAAAAAAAGACGTAGAATTAAGTATTGACTCATTTAAATTGACGTTTAAATTTTATTTAGCATTTAAAAAATCAAAGAAAAAATTGTCGATTAAAAAAGAAAAACACAAAATAATAATTTTATAATATAATTTATCTCATGTAAGTAAAAAATAAAAAAATTGAAAAAAAATTGAATTTAAAGTTTATTAAGTTGAAAAAGGATCTAAAAAATTTTGGAAGAAATGATAAAACAGTTTAAATAAATAAGTTTTAAATAAAAGGTTGTGGGGGGGGGGGTAATTCTTCTTCCATTGCTTCGTCTTCGAAATTGATCGATTTAAGTTTTAAGGTAAAGCTTGCCTTTTTGATTATTCAGCATAAACAAACAGCCAAAAAATTTTAATAGTTTGGAAGAAATTTAAAAGTTAAAAAAAAGAAAAAAAGTTGAAAAAAGTTTTTATTAACAAGGATTATGATATTTTGAATTTAAAAAAACGAGAAACATATACCATCTAAAATTATATAGAATATGTATCCATCAGTGAATATAAAAATTTTGCTTAGTTTAGAAAAATATTACAAAAAGCACCAAAATAAAAAAAATATTTGGATACAAAAATACAGCTACAAAAAATATTTAAAATGTTATTTTTAGCCGATTTTGGCGTTTAGCTGATTTTGGCGTTCTGTTTTTCTCCTTTTAGCGCGTCAAACGAAATTATTTTTCACTTCTAAAGATAAGATTACTTATTATGAGAAACTTTGCTTATTAACTTTTTTGTTGAAAATTTCCCTACAACGGCAAACAATTAAAAACCATTTTGTCCTTACCATTTTATTTAATAACTGACAGTTATTTGAATTTGAGACGATTCAAAGTCAAAGGTTCAGAGTAGCAGTTTTTGGCATAACCTTTTCTGTTATCATAAATTTTACAAAATTTTCTTTTATATTTTTTTAATTTCAAGATAATTTTCTTTAAATTGATTGATTCTTTATATTAAATTATGTTTACTCGCGGCATCGGTAGAGGTGTGGGAAACGTTCGTGGAGGTGGTGATACTAATGTCGGAACTGGTTCAGGCTTTGTTGGAGGTGGAGATTCCTCAAATTGTCAAAATAACATGGGGTCTTTTGGCCGTGGTGGTCGTGGGAACTCATCCTTTGGCGTGGGAACTCATCCTGGACTTGGTGACCCTTCTGGTCAAGGTTATTAATTTAAATTTGGTTACATTAACTATTGTTTCATTTTCTTCTAGTTGGAGGAGATTCTTTTGGCCGTGGTGGTCGTGGTAACTCATCTTTTGACACTGGAAGTGCGCCTGCTCGCGGCATTGGTCGAGGTTCGGGTAACGGTCGTGGTGGTGGTAATTCTTCTGTTGGACCTGGTACGGGCTCTTCTGCTGGAGTTGGCGATTTTTCAAATAATCAAAATGGTATGGAGTCTTCTATTGGACACGGCCGTGGTGGGCGTGGGAACTCATCTTTTGGCGTTGAAGGTGCTGACCCTTCTTTTGGTCAAGGTTATTAATTTCTTTTAATTAATGAACTAACGTTTTATTTTCTTTTAGTTGGAGGAGGCCCTACTTTTGGCCGTGGTGGGCGTGGGCACCCATCTATCGCCGCTGGAGGTGCCAACCCTTCTTTTGGTCAAGGTTATTAATTTAAATTTGATTAGTTACATCAACTAATTTTAATTTTCTTATAGTTGGAGGAGACTCTTCCTTTGGCCGTGGTCATGGTAACTCATCTTATGACACTGGAGGTGTGCCTGCTCGTGGCAATGGTCGAGGCAACGGTCGTGGAGGTGGTGATACAGGCTTACTTGTTGGAGCGAGAGATTCTTCAAATGGTCAAAATAACATGGGGTCTTCTTCTGGCCGTGGTCGTGGGAACTCATCTTTTGACACTGGAGGTCCTGACCCTTCTTTTGTTAGAGGTACATTAATTTAGCTTTATTAGTTATATTAACCGATGTTTAATTTTCTTTTAGCTAGAGGAAACACTTCTGGTGGTCGTAGTTTTTTTGCAACTGGTTCAAATTCCGTTGAAGTGCAACAAAATGCTCCTAACGGTAATGATAACAACAGCTATTTCAATCGCGAGAAGGTGACCACAGAAGATTCTGGAAACTGTACTACGGTTAATCAAGTTGAAAACAATAATGGAGTTCAAAATTCTGATGAAAAGCCTATTGTAAATGAAATTACTTTGGTAATTTTTTAAATTGTTTCATTTCTAGAATCGCGGGTTTGCGCTTCGTGAACGTTTGGTCGAGGATTTGTATAAGGATGATGAGATATTCAAACATCAATATGTTGATATTGCAGATGCTGACGATGATGTTATGATTACTGGAGTTAATGTTAAACTGATTTTGGAGTTAAATTTTTTTATCGATATTTTTCTTAATTTAAAAAATATCAGGTCTTGGACTGAATTCAACATGGATCCAATACTTAAAGAAAATATTACTGTCAAGTCCAATTATATTCGTCCGCGCAAAATTCAAAAACATGTTATTCCATACGTTCTTTCTGGTAAAATTTTTAAACCAATTTATAACACAAACTTTTTATAGGTTATGATTTGAAAGGTCATTCAGAGACAGGAAGTGGCAAGACTGGAGCTTTTTTGATTCCAATCATTCAAGTATGGTTTTTTTCTTTATTAACCTTCACATTTTAAACAAAACCCTTTAGAAAATTCTTGCTGATCCTTCCTCACAGCGTCAGCCGTCTGAAATAGCGGCCCCGTTTGCTCTTGTTTTATCGCCCACACGCGAATTATGTCTTCAAATTTATGATCAATGCCGCAAATTTGCCAATGGCAAGTTTAAATTTTATTTGTATAGTATTTTGCTTGTACATTGACAGAATCTATTGACAAACTTTTCGAATCTAAATTTTAAAAATTTAGGAACTTTTGTCAAAATCACGCGTGCTTATGGGCAATTTAATTTTGGTGTTAATCTTGGTCAGCTTAAAGAAGGATGCGATATTTTAATTGCTACTACTGGTCGTCTTATGCATTTAATTAAAGATAAACATGTTTGTTGATTTTTTGAATTTTTGACAATTTTTATTTTTAACAGATTGATTTGTCAGAACTGAAATATTTTGTTTTGGATGAGGCTGATCGTATGCTTGAAAATAATTTTCTTACTTCTGTTCGAGAAATTATTGAATCGCCAAATTTCCCTCCAGTAATTTTCCTTTTTTAACACATTTAAATTTAATTTTTAATTACAGAAGGAAAAACGTCAAACAATGATCTTCTCTGCTACGTTCCCTCCGGAAATTGAGGAACTCGCAAATGAAATTCTTCGTTCAGATTTTGTAACCGCTTCAAACAACAAACCAGTTTCTGCGAACAATCGTGTTAAACAAAGTTTTTTGAATGTTGAATCTGATAAGATGGAATGTCTCAAAGAAATGTTGGATAAAGAAGTTAAAACGGCGGCAGAGAAAAATCGTTTGATTTTTTGAATTTAATAAATTTATAATTTTTTATGTTTAGCCGAAAATCCAAAGCCTCGTCGTACTCTTGTTTTTGTCGAAACTCGCCGTGATGCTGATCGCCTTGCTGTTTATCTTAACGAGAATGGCATTAAATCTCTTACACTTAATGGGTATAATTTAAAAAATCTTTTTTTTTTTAAATGAATTTTAAAATAACATTTGTAGAGAACGTAAGCAATCGGAAAGAGAAATGGCGCTTCGAAAATTTGATAGAGGATTTATTGATGTCCTTGTTGCGACTGATGTTTGTGCTCGTGGAATTGATATTAAAGGATTGGAACATGTAAATTTCTTTTAAATATTTTTTGATTAGATTTTTAAATTAAGGTTATTAACTATGATTTGCCTCAAGATGCTGTCACTTATGTTCATCGTATTGGTCGTACTGGCCGTTTGGTTACTGGTTATTCAACGAGTTTTGTTGATTTGAAAAAGAATACAAATCTCATTCCGGAACTGATTAAAGTTAGTTTAATTTTTCTAGATCTAAATTTCTCTTTTATTTTTTAGATTCTTCAAAGTTCTTCTACACCCGTTCCACAATTTATGGCTGGATATACTGCCAACGAATCTGTTACATATGTTCCTTATAACCAAAAGAAACAAATTTCGTCAGAATTTGAAAATGGTGTTCAAAATTATCAAAACGGATTCGATAATGGTGACAATACAAATGATGTTTGGAATAGTAATGAGCCTCAAGTTGAACCTTTTATCGACACTGCACTTGTCAAGAACACGCCTGTCGTCAATACAGCTCCTGCTCAGAGTATTGAAAGATCCTCTGACTATTGGGCTAGTGCAATCAAGCAACCAGCTAAATCTTCTTTTGTCCAGAATGGCGCTAAACCGATGGTTCAAACTCGTGTTGCTCCAGCAGCTCAAGCTCATGTTGTGCCAGTAGCTCAAACTTATGTTGCTCCAGTAGCTCAATCTCGTGTCGTGCCAGCAGCTCACTCGGTTGCGCAAGAGAACACTAATGATTGGGACAAAAATGACAATTGGGAGGATATTGATAATTCTTGGAATTGATTTGAGGTTCTCTGAAAATTGGTAAAACTTGAATTAAATGCATTTCAATTTTAAGTATTGTTGGTAAATGTCCAGCTCGCATTCTATTTTCCACAACCCCTCCTCCTAAATATGTACACTTATCGTTTGATAGCTCGAGAGAAATTAAGGGAACGAGAGACAAAAAAGCAGAATGCAAAAAAATTTTTTTGAAGAATACCTTTGCGGAAAATAAAGTGCGAGCTGTATTGTTGTTGAACCTTTATTATTTTAAGGAAAATTCTTTACTTTTGATATTGCTTATTATTATTATTCCACATTATACCCGTTATTCTTTACTCAAAATAAATTACGATTTTTCCTAAATATTTTTTTAAACTTTTATTGGGAAAATAAATAAGGAAAATAAAATCGATGCTAGAATTTAGTATTTGAGTTAGGGAAATTAATTTTAATGTACATCTTGGTTGGACTTTATTTCACATCTTTTATGCAATTGTTTCTTTGCGCAGTTAAGGCGATTAGTCGGAGACTACTGGTCACACATAATGTTTTGTGTCCGGATGAGTGATGGTCTATGAGTTGTAATATAATGTTTTCCACTGCATAAAATATCCAATTTTGATGTTTGGTTGTAAATTCCCTAACTAATTTGGTAATGTCGGGGTCGAGTTTTACGTATGAATATGGTGGGGTTGCCAAAAGTGGTGGGGGAGGGGGGTCTTTCAGTTAGAAAATTAGGGGACGGGGAATTCACTGAAAATTCGGAATTGAAACCAATTAAGCTTAATACTCTTAGGAAGGATGTATCTTCAATTATAAAATACTTAAAAAAATATTTTATTTTTCATCGATACTGATATTCTTACAAATACTTTCCAAATGCAATGCAGCAACATCAACATATCGGTTTGTAAAAAATAATTACGTTATCAAGTGTAGGTTACACATGTTTATATATAGTTGTAGGAGATGAAGTTAGCAATATTGGTGGCACAGAGGATAATCTGTCTGGTTTTAGATGTTGGTGTTGCTGCTTTGGTGTGCACATTAAGGTTAATTACAGGCGAAATAAATATATAAAAATACTATAATTTTCTGATTTTTCTAAATTAAAGGTGGCAACTGCATTAGTTGCTGGGATTTCCTCAATACTTATTTTGACAAACTTTATCGCCAAACTATGCGGCTACTCCGAGATTGGCTGGAATTTTGAGCTGCTCTTTATGATAATTGACGGTGCAGCTTTAACGGCATTAATTTACGGGCTATATACTGATAATGCTGCATTCCTGCAACCATTTGTTGCACTTAGTGTGAGTTTGACAATCAAAACCTTTTAAATAAAGCCAAAATCTCTCAGATAATCACTTCTTCATTGCTGGTACTCCTAGCTGCTTATTTGGGAACTGCAGTAATCGACTCTAACTCTTATGCAGCTCAACGGTTAGAGTTAGAATTGAACAAACGACTTTCTGATGCTGCTAGACGACTTAATTTGGAGTTCAAACTTAGTGAGAACAAAATTTTAAATTAAAACTACAATCTTTTTAGTGGTTTCCATTGTGGCAAGCATAGCTCTAACGGGCATTCTTATTTCAATATTTATCCACTTTTGGTTCGTTTATTTAATAGTAAAATGTGCAAAATATTTTAGAATTGCTGTTAAAAAATAAAAATATAATTGTTAAAAAATTTTTATTTCAAGTTTGGATAATAAAACAAATAATCCAAATACATATTGAATTAAATATTGTTGGATATTAAACTTAAGCAGATAAGAATATTTTTGGGCGGGGAAAACCGTTTTTGGTATTAAATCAAACTTTTGGATATAAAGTTTTTGGGTTTTCTTTGGAATTAACCTTAAAAATTGACGTACATACTATAAACCCAAAAATAAAATTAAAGAATTTACAATCGAAAAATGCTTGTGCAGTTTTAACCAAAATAAGTATTGAATTTAAATCGCAAAATTCCTCACAATCAACATTCATAATTCCATTAAATCAAACATTCCTTCTCCAATTTTTAATCACGTGGTGAACGAGATAAGCTTCGACTGCGTGAAGGACTTCTTGATCGTGAATGCCCATGTGGAGAACGGGAACGGCTCTCGTCTCCTCGGCGATCAGATCTGGACCTGGAACGCCCACGGGGTGAGCGCGATCGAGACCTATCATCACGAGAGCGAGAACGGCGTGGTGGAGAACGAGTCCGCGAACGGCGACGTGAACGGGAACGCGAACGACGGCGTCTAAAAATATAAAATTAGATTTAGAAAGAAAATTTAACAGAAAATGGAAGGGGGAAATTTTTAAATACGTTACTTATACTTTCCAAAAAATCAAATTATTTCCTATTGAGAGGATCCCATAAAGAAAATATCGAAAATATTACAAAAAATCTGAATGATTTGCTGCTGACTACATTGCAACGCGTGCAGCAAAAAACATTTTGGACAGGATTCTTTCTGCCGATCTTTCCCAGGACTGGATTCATTCAGAAAGGTCTTTTTTGAAATTCTCCGGCAGTGGACTGCAAAAATCTGCCCAAAGCTAACACAAGCCGCCCACTGCTATACAGTCTCTCATCTCATTTGACTACAAAGCTTACACTGCCCAAGGCTCTCTTTCATAAACAGCTAGCTCAATACTTGTTATTAGCACTTTCACCACCATAAGGTGGCATCTACTGAACTTAAGTGGATAAAACTACTCAAATTTGGTTTTATTTTTAATAATTAAATTCAAAAAACAAACCTGTCTCGATCGCGACCTTCGTCAAGCGGGCGTCGATATTTGGCAATAGATACGCGCAATTCTCGACCATTCATTTGTTTTCCATCCGCGCGAGAACAAGCATAATCCTAAAATAAATGTTTTTAAATTCACTAATTTATTACTAACAGCATCTTTCCTCGAATAGAAACGGACAAATCCAAAACCGCGACTTTGATTATTGTATCGATCACGAGGAATCTAAAAATAATTAAATATTAATTTACAAACAAATAATTACATAAACATCGCCAATATCTCCATAACGGTCAAACAATCGACGAAGTTCATGGACGCTTGTATTATAAGGCAGGTTATCGACCTAAATAGTCATGATTAAAAATATTGACGGCATACACAAAGCGAGTTCATTCACCATAGTTTGAATAAATTTGACATAGCTACTCAAAAATCTGACCCTCGGGGATATTTTCCCCTCTTATTCTAATAACCTACATGGAATTCCCACCCTAATAATATAAACAGTCCCACATGTTAAAGACATGTCCCCATAATAGGAGTTAAGTTTATTAAAATTAAAACCTTTAAGCTGTATAGTTCGTCGAAGTTTATATCATTTCCACGCCTTGAGGACATTATTTTGATTTATTTAATCAACTGCCTGATTTAAGTAAAATATTAGTTTTGGTAAATAAAAAAGATTTCAAAGTTTTAACGAAAAACTTTTAAAAGCAAAACTAAAAAATTAAAAACAAGCATAAATTTAATAAAAATATGGAAAATATAAAGGCTAAAAAATCAATCAATATAAACATCATGCATTTGTGCGAAAAGTTTGACCAAATAAGTATGTGAAGCATAAAGTTTAAGTCCATTTTCGACTGTTATCCATTTCGCAAATTTCGCATCAGAACCCGCCTAAAATATAAAAAATAAAACAAGTTTTGTTAAAAAATAATAAACCTTTAGATTCAAATCTTTTAAGAGATTCCCCGTTGCATCATGAAAATTAAAGCAACTTGTTTCCATCCAAGAGTTGTCTGTATTTCTCGGATCGTCAACATATCCTTGATAAACAGTTTTTCCATTCTTCCAAATAGAAGACAATTTCTCGTCCAAAACATTGTTTGCAAGAGCTTCTTCATGAAATTCGCGAATTGCCGCTTCTCGAGCATCTTCCCCAGGATCTATCATTCCACCAGGTATTGCCAAATCTTCTTAAATAACCAAGAAAATTTTAAAAATAAATAAAATAAAAACCAGTATCATCTCTCACAATTGCTACAAATTGAAGTATTTTCCTTGCATCTTCCCCAATAATATATCTCGAAACAATAGCATCAGCTGCATGATTTGGTCCCCATTTTCCAAGAACACCACGACCACGTAAACCTGTCCTTCCAAATGGATTAAGGGGACGTCCAGTTGAATCAAGAGAATATTTACTGAATAGGAAGAGTATATTTGTGTGAAAAATAAAAATATTTTACCCATTAAATGATAGCCTATTTATTCCATCATCATCCACATGATTAAAAGTGTAAATACACGGATCTTCATGGTCTGCCCAAGTTTTTCCATAAATAGTTTTTGCTGTATAATCTTTGGGTGAATAGCTGCATTCTCCAAAATCAGAGTCCCAAGGCACTTGATCGTCTTTGACAGGAATTCGATAAACTCTACTTCTCAAATATGGTTTTGCTAAAATAAAAATGAAAGAAAAAAAATATAAAAAATAAAACTTGAATCTCTGCATTTAGTATGTAACGTCCTGCAAAACATTTTTATTGACATGTGTATAAATATCTTTAAAATAAATTATCTAAATAAACAAGTTTTGATTAAAAAGAATTGACGTCTATTAAACGCGCAAAGCCCGTTCACGCACGCGCGATAATGATACAAAACTTTGAGTTATCTATCAACAAAATAGAAGAGTAAATATTAGTGATGTTCGAGAGTCAAAAAATCCCGAGAGTCGAGAGTCGAGACCGAGACCGAGAATCAACCCCGAGACCGAGACCAAAACGAGAGTCGAGAGTCGAGACCGAGAGTCGAGACCGAGAGATTAAGAGGGATATCACTTGATGTCCCTCCTAATCCCCAAAAATCCCTTGATATACCTCAAAATCCCCATACTCGCTTGAATCCACTTGTCCACAATATATATTCAATGATATTCACATTAATCTCTTAAAATCCCCTCATATCCTTCCATATCCCTACAAATCCAACAATATCTTTTTGATCCATCGATGCACCCATCCCTTGATATTAAATTTTATCCTTCAGAATCCACAGTATCTAATATACCACAAACCACAAAATCTAATCCTTTAATCTTATTAAATTCAAATTTTTGCTGCATTTTTGGCGCCGCAGGCGAAAATTTTTTGAATTTTGGAGCTCAAGAAGCCAAATTTCCTCCATTTTCAGCGCCGCAGGCGAAAATTTTGAGAATTTTGGAGCTCAAGAAGCCAGATTTCTTCCATTTTTCAGCGCCGCAGGCAAAATTTTGGGAATTTTGGAGACTTTTCCTTAAAAATTTTAATATCAAAGTACGCAAGGTCCGAGTAAAGTTCAAAAAATTTCCGTCATTAGGGGTGTAAATTTAGTCTCGTTTTCCGAGACCAAAACACCGAGACCGAGAGCTCAAAAAACCCGAGAAATTTCTCGACTCGAGAGTCGAGACCGAGAGTCTCGAACATCACTAGTAAATATAGGGCAAAAAACGGGAATAAAACTACGAGTACCATTTTGTCCATGTACCATTTTATCCAAAACGAATTCCATAATTTGTTCGGCCGGTTCATTTCTTATTTTCATGGATGGATATTTCATCACGAAACCCTTAGTCGAAATTCTAAAATACCGAATCAATTTTAGAAGTTAATTTTGGCATATTTTACATTCAAATACCAAAATTTTTTGAATAAACCAAGTAAACTTTGGGGAATCTTTAAATTAAAAAAATATCAATATTGAAAAATAATCAGTTTTTTTATAAAAAAATGCAATTAAATCATTTAGTATAAATTCCTTAATTTCATTTGTTGCTTTCAATTGTTTTCCTCAATTCCTCATAATTATTTCCCTCAATAACGGTCTGAAATTTAAATACCTATATTTAATTTTCTAATAATTATTTTTTATTTAAAAATTACAAGTTTCTTTCCATCTTTGAAGAAAACAAATGTTGGCATTACCTAAATATATTTTTTCTGAAAATTTTAAATCCTAACAAACATTTATTTCATAATTAGCTGCAATGTGTTCCTAAAATTATTTTTTTATTAAATAATTTTATTTAAATTACATGTTCATCAACATCTATCCCAACATAAATTGGGTCAGCAAATTCATCTGCTAATTTCTAAAATAAATAAAAATACATTTAATTTATCCCCTTATACAAACATTAAATTTTGGTGTCATTAATCGACAAGGACCACACCTTTAAAATTTTTTTTATTATTTTTTAAATTAATTTCAACCAAGTAGCAAAAAAGTCAATAACGACAAGTTTAGAGCCTGCCTCTGCCAAAATTGCATTTAATTCTTCCTTTTAATTATTAAATTTATTTTATATAAAAATATTTTTAATTTAAATTTACCTGACTTTTTGGGTGTTTAATTGTTTGTGACATTTTTTAAGTTTTTAATTTATTTTCAGAAAAATTATTTTAACATTAAAATAAAAATGTTTTTATTTTTCATTTCTTTAATTAATTCATTTTTCTCTCAAAAAATTATATAAGCTTTTTTGAAATGTCAGCCTTTTAAAAAGTAAAAATTCTCATAAAATAATAAACATTGTTTTGTTGCTATGGACTACTATTTAAAATTAAAAACTTTTTTTTTATTTAAATGTTCAATTTTTATTTTTTTGGTAAAGATATGTGAAGAAATATGTAAATAGAAGTTTATTTTTATAAAATAATTTTGATTTATTACCTATTTTTAAAATAAATTTATCATCAACTTTCTTGTGGATAATAAAAAATAAATTGTTAATAATAATAAAAAACATGAAAATAATTTTGTAAATTTTAAATTTAAGGATTAATAAAAAATGTATTTATTTTTAATAATTGTGCAAATCTTCTCATTTAATCGGGATAAAATAATTAATCGATTAAAATAAAGTAAATAATAATCAGATAATGAAAATTATTTCAAAAGACAATTTACCATTTTTGTGACAAAAAGAAATATTTTTTAAAAAATGTTTAATAAAATATTCCAAATTTTTCTCAATTTAAATAAAAATATTTTATTTATTTTATTATTTTTTCTAATTTTTTTATTAAAAGAAAATGTTAATTGTGATTATTCTCTTGGTTTTTTAAATAAAAAATTATTAAAAAAATATTTTTGTAGAATGTAATTCTGGTTATCGTGTTTCTGCCATTCGAAGGGCTAATTCTGACAGGCAAAGAGGGAAAGTTGGTTCAATTAGTATTGAATGTCAGCCATTATTAAGTGGCCAAATAGTTAAAGAAAAGGTTTTTAAAAGGAATAATTATTTGTACGGGAAATTTTTTAAAATTATGCAAAGAAGACATGACCGACCATTTCGTACAACAACGAAATCGAGGACTGAGGGGGAGGGAGCGGCATAAGTCCCCCATATATTTATTAAAGAAAAAATAATTTTAAAAATTTTTATTTAAAAAAGGTTAAATGTTCCCCTCTAAATATTGCCCCTCAATGTAATGGCCAACTTGAAGGATGTAATAACTCTCAATGGCTTGGTGGTTTTAATGTTTATGAACTTGATAATAAAACAAATGCAATTCTGTTCGGAAATATTTTTAAATAAAATTATTTTTTCTAAAATTTAGTCTGGACCCAATTTGTTGTGAATCTCCCGATTTATTACAAATTGATCAAAAAAGTTGTGTTTCTGAAAGATTAAATTTCCCAAAATTATCTTTTGAACATTCAATTTCGAATTCTGATTTTGTTTACAAGTTTTTTTGAAAGTTTATTTAAAAATAATTTTTTTCCAAAAAAGGGGAATAAATTGTTGGCATCAATTTAATCCAGACGGGACAACAGCAGATTTAATTTTTAAAATAGAAATTTGTCAAATAAAAAGAAAAGAAACAAAAAATGACGAAAATAAAAATAAAATAAATTTTGTTTTTTTAGATTCTTCAAATTTAGGTTTGAGAAAAAAATTAAAAAAATTTCTTTTTTAAAGCTAAATGTCCGTCATGTGATTGCCATAATTGTGGAATTAATTTATGTGGAAATGGGGATGAACCTATTCGTGTTGTTCACAAACATTTTAGTAAAAAAAGGTGTGCCTGTGATTGTATTTGTCGTTATGAATGTATTGGAAATTAAATTTAAAAAATTTTGAAAGAGAGAAAAGAAGACTAAAATAAAAATTTTTCTAATTTATTTTTTTGGTAAATTAATTTTTTTAGAGAAATTAAATATTTAAAAATCTTCTCTATTTTTCCTTAATTTTTAAGAAAAAAAATATTTTAAAACAATTTACCTAAAATTTAAAGGAAATTTAAAACAACCCATAATCAAATCAATTAATGTGTAATCTGTCCAGGATAAGCATCCGCTCTATTTTTTCTTGTCAAAAATTTAAATTTCCTTTCACGGTCTTCATCAATAATTGCTTCCGATGCTTCTTTAGCATATTGATTTCGCTGCATATATGGTTTTAGAAAATAGCGGGTATTTCTAATTATTTTGAGTAAACCTTCACGTTCCATTAATCTTTTTTTTAAAAATAAATTTTAAAAAAAAATAAAAAATTAAATAAACCTATTTAAAACATGAAATGCCGCATCAACATCGTTGTCTTTTACCTTAAAAATTAAAAAATTTTTTTAGAATGTTGAAAGAATTGTTTAAAAAAATTTAATTTTTTCTATATATTTTTATTTGGTACTTATAGGGTTTGTATCCGCTGGAAAAAATTAATTGCTATTAAAAATGGTCAGTGTAAAAAACTTGTGAGCAGGCATCACATCATTTTTTTTCTTCCATAACTTTAAAAAATTTGCCTGTGGTCAATTTCATTCACTCACTCTTCCTTCAACTCGGCAATTTTTTTTTGTTTTTGATTGCCTGCCTCACACATTTTGCCCTTGTTATTGTAAATGAATGAAAAATCGATGTTCATTTTTATATTTAAAGACGGTTACAAATGAAAAAGTAGGATTATTGAAGCTAAAAGCGAGTGAATGAAAGTGACCACTGGCAAATTTTTTAAAATTATGGAAGGAAAAAATTTTTTATACTGACCATTTTTACAAAAAACCAATTAATTTTTTCCGGCGGATACAAACCCTATAAGTACCTTTTTATTTTAATACAAAGAAAATCTAAAAAGTTTTTCCAAAAACAAAGTAAAAAATATTTTTAAAAATAACAATAATTGTTTTTTGAAGAAATCTGCCAGGCTGCATCGCCCAAATTCCATGAAATAATGGCACTCCAAAAGGTTGGCGCATTTTGCCACGCCATGTGAAACGTATAGAAGGCATAATCGCAGAAATAAAAGCTAAAAAAATAACAAAAATATTTAAAAAAAAACAGAAAAAAATTAGAGGAAAAATAGTTGACGAATATTTAATTTTTAGGCGTATTGGCTATTGGTCTTCTGGGCGTATTGTCTATTGGTAATATGTTATTTGTATTTTTTTAATATTTATGACAATTCGCCACTGAGACAATTGGACAGTTGGCAATTTCACAGTAAAGTGTGGATACAGTAGATTTATGACGGGGTTAAGAACGGATTGTAATTCTAACTTGTCGAAGTTTTGAATCCTATCGGCACTAAATAATTTTTTGTAGGCTTTTTTCTTTTTTAATATGTTCAACTACCCTGATAAAATTACGTAAAATTTGTAGATGGAGACTTAGGAAGAAATGTACCTTTGGATCCCTGTTCCCGGAGAATTCTCTGTGAAGTTATTCTGTTACCCGAAACTGAGCCAAAGAATAGAACCAAAAAATCCTCGGTAATCCTCTGTCTCTATTTGAATTCCAAACGATAACCCTCCTTGTAAATTATGGAGGTTATTGTTTGATTTTTAATTAAGGACTCGTAAAATACATAATTCGTACATATTTTTCTTTATTTAAAAAAGCTTTATATTACAACATAATTGGGGGGGGGGGGGGTATTAAAATAGCGAGGAATTAAAGTAAAAAAAAACAAAATGGAAATTTTCAAATATTTTTAATTTTTTTATTGTCTAATTATAAATTTTCATTAGTACTGGGATCTTCTGGCCTCAGCCATTGAAAAGCACTTCGTCTTTGTTTTTTCACCTTTCTTTCAGTTTTTTGTTTTGCAGCTGCTGCAGTACATGCACAGGGTTGTGGAGGCATCATTCCTGGTCCCCCTCCCATCATTCCAGGTGGTGGAGGACCTCCCATTCCAGGCCCTCCTCCATGGCCAGCTGGTATGCAAACACATGCGTTCGGTCCACCGCCTCCACCCATCATCATTCCTCCTCCGGGAGGACCGGGTGGTGGAGGAGGGAATGGAGGATTGCCACTGAAACATGAAACAATTGTAATGTATTAAGTCTAAATTATGAAATCAAAATAAAAAAATTTCTCACGCTCCAAATGGAGGTGGAGTAAATGGCGGTCTTCCTCCCATCGGACCTCCACCCATTGGAGGCTGGAATTGTGGTGTCATTGAAGAAGGTGGCATACCCATCGGTGGCTGTTGCTGTTGAAATGGTGGTGGTGGGAGCATTGGGGCTGCCTGTAATTGTTGAGGTGGTGGGCAGCAGGGATCTTGTTGAACTGAAAAGTACATACATACTGAGTATTTTATAAATAAAATACTAGGTGTGCAAATGCAAACAGGTTGTCCTCCACCTTGGGGCGGCCGCGGCATTGGCGGTGGTGGTGGAGCAAATTGTGGTGGAGGTGTTTGTGGGGGACAACATGCGTCTTGTCGCATTGGTGTACAAACGCAACTAATTGTTAATGCTGTTCCTTGGGGAGGCATTTGCTGTCCTAGCCCTGGGCCATGTGCCATTGGTGGTGGGGGTGGCGGCGGCGGGGGAGGAGGGCAGCAATCTTGTTGCACTAAAGAGATATAATAACTCAAGAATGTTTTTTTGTATTTAGCAAATATCTGCCAAAAACCTACTTGGTGTGCATATACAAACTGGTTGACCTCTGCCAGCACCTGGAGGAGGAAGTCCTCCTCCCATTGGAGGTGACATCATTGGACCACCAAATGGAGAGGGCGAGCTCATCATATGAGGTGGTGGTGGGCCACCCATTCCACCACCCATTGGCGGCATTCCTCCTGGTCTCATTGACGGTGGAGGACCACCACCCATACCACCTCCCATCGGCATCTGTGGTCCAAACATGCCACCAAATTGATGATCACGCATAACTTAAATTTTCTGATTTGTAAGAAGAATTTCTCTTATTAGAATTACATGGAGGCGGAGGCATATGACCACCACCACCCATCATTGGTGGAGGCATTCCGCCACCCATCCCCATAGGCGGAAAAGCTCCTTGGCCACCAGCTGAAAGCGGAGCAGCGCATGAACAAATATCCTGTGGCTTTTGCTGAACTGTAACTAAAAAATTTAGAAAAAATTAGTTATCAATTCTCAAATCAGTTAATTTTATTACTTGTTATGCATGTACAGGCTGTTTGCATTGGTGGAGGTGGTCCAAATTGTGAGAGAGATTGGGGTGGCATTGGTGGAGGAGGGGGTTGGCAACAGATATCCACTTTAAAATTAAAATATGCTGCATAAAAATTCAAAAATTACTTGGAGTACAGCAAAGGCAACATGGTTCAGGTGGAGGACCAAAATTTTGCTGTGGTGGGGGAGGTGGAGGAGGAGGGGTTGGGGGCATCATTGGGGTACAACAATAAGGTTGACATTGCATTGGTTGACAATTCATTGGCTGGCATTGTTGTGGATTCATCAAGGGATTTGGAGGTGGACCACCAAATTGGCCTGGATGAGGAGGGCCTCCAAACGGAGGAGGGCCACCAGGACCTCCAAATGGAGGAGGGCCACCTGGACCTCCAAATGGAGGTGGGCCACCAGGACCACCAAATGGAGGGGGACCGCAAATTTGGCGTTTGGAGCGAAACAAATTTTCAGAGGCAAAGAGACTTGCATTCTATTAGGAAAATAATTTCATTTTAAAATTTGTACATTTAAAGTCACCAATTGTTTTGGGATAACACAAATGGCAAAAATTGCAAGAAATAACAATTTTGATGTTGTCATTCTCCCCAGTTTTAGAGTTTTGGATTGATTAATAAAATAAATTATTATAATTAAATTAAGATTAGAAAGGAATCTTAAATTAAAGTTTTCTTTATTTAAAAAAATTTTATAAAATTATAATTAATATTAAAATTTTTACAAAAATATACAAGAATATAATAGTTTAGTTGTGGTTTATATGAAAGTATATTGTCCAAAAATATTTAGATAATAAGTACAAAAGAGAAAAAAAGAAGAACAATCGCTGCTCATTACAAAAGTATTTTGAGTGTTTTTAAAAAAGAAAAAGTCTGTTAAATAGTCCCAAGTGCCGAAAGGAAACAAAAATTATTTTCTAACAATCAATGTTACTTTCTTGGTCGGTCAAGAGAAATTTGGAGACTTTTTAAAATGATCAGGAAAGATACGCTACTGAGGGGATGGACGATGCTTTTGAATGGTTCTGTTCAAGCAAAAAGCGGCCTAAAGAGTGACAACTGCCTACTAATTCTATTTCCCACATTTTTTGCTTTTTAGATCTCCGCGCAAGACTATAAAGATGAGTGGACAATAAACACATAAAAATAAAACAAATATACAAACAAAATAGAGACAAAACGTCTATTGCCGTTTTTCTGTTTTTGCCTAAAAGTTTTTTTACCAAGATTGGTGATTGGGCAATTCTTGCGTGTTTTCGAGTGTTTCAAATTTATATTTGCTTGTTAAAAACAAAAGTTTTTGTTTTATTTTTTGTTGATTTCTTTTTGGTTAAAGCGGAAGCTCTTGAGAAATATTAAAAGAATTTCCATCTAATAAACAAGATAGGAGAGACGTGGGGACAAGCAAAAAATGTAAAAGTATGTTGCAAAGAAAAAGAATTTTGTTTTGATTTTAAATAATTTTTTTTAATTTATAAGTAACTTCCAACATTTTTAAATTTAAGCTTAAAATGGTTGTTTCTGGTTAAATAATTCTAAATTTTTTTAAAAGAATTTCTTAGAGAATCCCCCTTTAAGTATTAAAAACTCAATAAACCTTTGTAAAATCTAAATTCTTTTATCAATCAATATCTATCAAAATATTTTTTCTTTTTCATACTTTTCTAGACAAACATTTAAACATAAAAAAACCTTTAATCAAGTACATAAAACAATTAATTAGCTTAAATATTGTAACAATTAAAAATTAATCTTTGATTAGTCTGTGTTCATTTAATAAGTTAATTAGTCTATTAATTAATTGTTTGTTTGTCTGGTTTGTTTTTTTATTTTCCTTCTTTTCGATTATTAATATAATCAAAGATGTAAGCTTATTTTTTGATTAATTATTTTCTTTAATTATTTAATTTATTTATTTATTTTGTTACTTTTTTTGTTAATTAATATATTTTTAAAATTTAAAAAAATAACGTTTCAAATATGGATTTTTTTTTTTCAAATTTGAAAGGTTTATTTTTGTTGTATCATTTTACAAATCTTTTACTAAAAATTTATATTAACTCTTTTATTTTTATTCAATTATTGTAATTTCCAAAACATTAATAGATTTTTTATCAAAAAAATACAAATAAGGCAGTATAAAAAAATAATATTTAAAGAGAACAATATTTTATAAAACAATTTAATAAGTGATGATTTAAGAAATATTTAATATATTTTGGGTAATATTTAAGTGAAAGTTTAAAAAATATTATGATTAGACATAAAAATATTGGGATAAAACAAAGATTTTTTAAGAAAAAAGATTAAAAATATTAATTAATTATAATTAAATGCTAGAAAAATTAATTTCTTGAGAAAATAAAAAAATAATTAAAAATTATTTAAATATAAAGTTTTATTATGCAATCGAATCGCGAAAATACGCGTACTTAATATATTATGACTTGAAATTCATAAATACAAAAAATATTCTTCAATTACGGCTATGCTCGAATGATTATTCTCTCGAATAATTACCCCCTCTAGCGAGACGTCGAAATAATAATTTTTCACAGGTAATTAGTCGAGCATATACGGTAGACAGAAATTATTAAATTGTTTTAAATTTTGAGAAAATATTTCTTTTGTCTTAAAATTGAGCAATTAAAATTAATTTTCTTAAAAAGACAATTCAAATTCACAAAAATTTTGTTGAGAATTTTGTATGTTGTTAATGCTTTATATTAATTGTTTCTATATTATTATCTCCTTTATCTCCTTCTTCGTCCTCATTTTCATTAAAATTATTTTCTAAAAGCATTTGTAAACGTAAAACAGAAGTTAAAGATTCAGAATCAAAATTAATATTTAATTCTTCGTCTTCTTCTTCTACTTCATTTATTTTTATTTCTTTTAAATTTTCTTTATTAAATGTTGTTGTTTTTGTTTCCAAATTATCAGAATTATTAATTTCCTAAATTTTAATTTGTTATTTTATTAAGAATATAACAAAAATAATATTTTTATTTAACACAATACTCTAAATTTTATCTTTTTCTAATGTCGACTAACTTATCCAGGAATTTTAAAAAATTATCGGAATTAATTTAAAAATTAAAAAAAAATTCTAAAATAATTTTTTCAAATAAAATTTAGTTAAATTAAGGATAAATACATGCCGTATAACCTTTATTAATTACCCTCCCTGAAATAATTACTCCATTTCCATTAATTACCCCATCCAACGATAGATTTAAACAATAATTATCCCCAAACAGATGCACTAAATCACGTTCAAATTTCAAACCTCGTATAATTACCCTCCCTCGATTAATTACTCCCTCCAGCGGAAGGTCGAAACAAAGATTACCCAGGGTAATTATTAAAAGATATATATTTAATATATTAATATATTATATTAATATACATATTTAATAAAATAATTTAAAAAGTTACCTTTTCAATTTTATTAATATAGAAAACAGAATTGTTATTATTATTTTGTTCAGAATTATTTGCTGCTTCTTTTTTATTTATTTCTTCCATTGGAAAAACTTTTCCAAAATTATTTTTTCTTTTAGTATTTTTCCTTCGAATTGTACTTCCAGTACTTGCCCAATGTTGCCGTTCTGCACTTCCCCATAAAGTAAAGAAAAATACAGGTAATAAAGCAATTACTGCTGCAATCCAAAAAACAATTGTCCATTCAGATAAAGAGCCAGACTTTAAATTTAAAAATATTTTTCTTTCATTTAATCATTAATTCTACCTGTACAATATAATTAGAAAGTATTTTATTGACAATACTAAAAATAGCAACACAACCAAAAGCAATACCCGTAATTATACCCGTATAGGCTGGTGCTATTTGTAAAAGGGCTATTTGAACACCAGGTGTGTGAAGACCTTTAAAAATTAATTTTTTTTTGTTTAAAAAATAATTTAAAAATTAATTACCGGCAAAAGCATTAGCTAAACACAAAACAAAAATAGCATTAACTCTTTGTTGGTCTGTATGAAGTAAAGGGACAATTCCAACACAAATACCCAAACCGAGAGAAGCAATTCCATTAAACCATTTAGCTAAAGCTGTTCTTCCAATTTTGAAACGACCTTTTTTAGAAAATAATTTTTTTGGATATTCTTCCCCGAAAAATACCTTTTTTATTTGCCTGAATAAAAGACGAAATTGAAGAAGAAAATGTTTTTGCAAGAAAAAGAACAGCTATAGGTAAAGCTGAAACAAAACCATTTGCTGTATTAGATAAAAGCAAAACATCATTTATATATTTTGGAAGAAGCTAAATTTAATTTTAATTTAATAAATATTATTTTTTGACAATAATTCACTCTATTATAGCTCACAAAATTTAAATTAAATATTATTAGGGGCAGTTAAAATTCTAGTGAACATTATCAATATTATTGGAGCCTTTTAGAGTAAGATAGGTATTTATGAAAATTAAAATTTCCTTTTATTTTTACCTGTAACATAATAACTAAAGGATATTCATGGCATATTAAAGCAGCTACCCCAATATATAAAGGTCTACAAGTAGCTAATCTTTTCCAAGGTATTTTTCTTCTTTCCGTCCTTTTCCCTAAACGTTCTTCGGCAATTTTTTCTTCAACAAAAGATCTTTCTCTATTTGAAGTACAAAAATGTTTTGAAGGTTTGTCTGCACTCATTAACAACCAGGCAAATAATATTCCTATTCCAATTAGTGCTGACAAATAAAAGATTACTGGCCATCCACCTAATATATCTTGACGGGAACAGAGAAATCCAGCAAGTGGAAGAATTAAAAGAGTACCTAAAAATTAAAGATATTTAATGGTAAACTCTAATATAAAGGCCAGTGATTTGAAATTTTAGAATTGCTCTTACTCTTATCTTAGGATCGGGCGCGAGCACGAATTTTAGGATCAGCGTCCATCCAGGCACTAATAAAGGCTCTTAATGGGATTTTTAAAAATAAATAGTAAAATCCTCTATTTAATGAAAAGGTTTATTAGAGGTTTGCAGAGGTCTCACATCCGTCAATAAAATTACATAAACTTTTGCAAAAATAAATCAAAGTTTATTTTTCTTTTAATTTTCTTGTCAAGTTTAATTAATTTATATTATTTTATTAAATTAAAGTTCGTCATTAATTTCTATCAATTTACGAGGTTAATAGAAAATATTTTATTAAAAGGAAAATCTCGAAAATATGTAGTCTTCCTTTTTTTAAATAAAAAGTCGGAAGTAATGACGAAAACAAAAAATATATTTAATTATTTTTATTTATTACAATAAATTATTTTGTAAATTTTTAATTGTTAACCTTGTACCCCCCTTTACTTTTCTTTTTTAATGTTAAAAAAATTATGTAATTCTTTCTGTCTATTACAAAGTTTAAAAATTAAATAAGAGGGTAGTGATTAATTGTTTGTAAATTTGATTGAAAATTTTTTTTAAAATGGGGATATACCAATTAATAATTGAAAGTAAAAAAATATACTACACAATTAATTGTTTAATAATTAATTTAAATAAGGGAAAACCTCAAAAAATATTCTTTTTTTAGTTAATTTTAGAAATCTAACACAAAATACTCCCTCTCACTTTTTAATTAACCCCCCACTCCTTCCCTCTCATTTTTTAATTTACCAACCAACCAATTTGTCGTCCACCAGTTATAAGCCCAATAGCGAATGGACGTTCTTTTGGAGGAAACCAACGAGTAATTAGACTTGATGTTGATGGTTGCAAAAGGGCGTCTGAAAGGCCAGTAAGTAAACGTGCAACAACTACTAACCAAACGGAAATGGATGCAACTAGGGGGAGTAATGCATTGCTGAGAACTTTAAAATAAAGAGATGAATTTAATTTTTTTAAAACTATTTTAAATTAAAAAAATCAAATAATAAAATTTTAAGAAAAATATTTTAACAAAAAGGCGAAAATAAAAATTCTAAAAATAACGCGTATATTTTGTGTAAAGGATATAAAAACAATACAATGGAAATAAATTTAAAAAAAAGTAAAATTTAATTAATTAGTGACGTAATTAAATTGATTATATTTTAAATTTAGAAAATAAAATTACCGAGAAGTATTAGTGCACCACTAATTGTCCATTTACTGTTAAGTCGATCAGCATGAGCTCCTGTAAATAACATGAAAAGAGAACCAGCATTTTGTGCTGCAAAAACTATGCCTAGAAAAAAAGAGAGAAATAATTAAAATGATAAAAATTAACTTTTAAAATTTGGAAGGTTTAGAAGGGTGAAATTGGGAATAACATAAATTAAAGGGATGAAAAGGTGACATAGATACGTCTAAATATTCGGCACACCTTGATCAGTAGAACTCCAAGAAAGTTTTTCTGCTTCATGGCAACTTTCAAAATAAACAGTTGAACGTATTTCTCTATTATTATTATTTAAATGTTTTCTTCTTCTACGACTATTAGCACATTCACTTTGTTTTTCTGTTAATAATTGTTTTGAAGTTGATGTTGAATTTATTTGTTGTTGAATATTTTGTTTTTCCCTTTTTCTCCTCCTTAATAAAATAAATACATCCGATTTTTCTTTTTCTTGTTCATTTATTTGATTAATTCCATATTGCATATTATTTTGATTATTATTGTTGTTAGGCTAAAAATTAATTATTTTAAATAATTTTTTGATTATTTTACAAAAATAATTATTTTTAATTAATATTTACTTGTAATGATTGCATTTGTTGTTGTTGCACTTGTTGGAATTGCGCTGATGTTCTTTTTATCATACAAACCATGGAAACAGAAATATTTGAAGTCGAGATACTTAAAGAAATATAACAAAGACAAAGTAGTAGAGCAATGAAGAACCGGGTTGAGGGAAAAATTCGAGAAGATTTACTACTTGTGTTGCTATTTGTTAATATAGATCCTAATGAACCGGAAGAAGACGAAGGTGGAGGGCAGGAAGGAGGGGATGAGGAGGATGTTTTGGAAGATGGAGATATCGATGAAGATGAAGAGGTTGTTGTTGTTGAGGATGATGGAACTGATTGGGAAATTGTTGTGGTTGAAGTTGATTGGGAGGAGGAATTGGAAAATCTTTGTTGTTTTGCTGTCTGAGTTTGTTGGGAATTTGGTAGAGCTTTAAATTAAATAATTTAAAGCCTTAGTTCTAATTGAACGAAAAATAGTGATTGAGAAGGGCTAGGAACCCTTTTCTGGAGAACATTAATATCCTTTAATAATAAGGATCCCATCAGTAAGGGAAATTCTTCATTAAAGTTCTTTTACCGAAATCATTTCCTCTCCCCATTAAAAACTCTATAAATAACAATTTACTTAATCTCCGTGGAATTGGAGGTGTTGGACTTCCATAAATTGGAATTATAGTCAAAGGTTGAGTATTAACAGTTGAGAGCACTGCTATAGTCGGTGCTGGCACATAATTTTCTCCTCCTTGAGTATTATTATTTCCATTACTTGGCCCGGCAATATTCGAACAATTTAATTGTTGTTTATTTTTAAATAAAGAAGAAAATGATTTTTGTTTTGTTTGTGTTGAAAATTTGAGCATTTTTATTTATTTTTAATATTTTTTTAACAAGGAAGTGTTTTTATTTAGAAATAATAATTATAACTTTTATTTACATTAATTAATTAATTTTTAATAGACTTGAGATCGACGTTAATTTTATTGCCATATAAAGTTTAGATATTTTTTAATAAATAAATAATGGCATATTATTTTTATTATTTATTATTGTTGTTTATTTAAGATTTAAATTGTAAAACTGAAATTAATTAAAAATTTATTGAAATGCTTGAAATAAAAAAATATTTTTTATAAAAATATTTTTTAAATAATTAATTGAAAATCTTTATGAATTAAATGTATACCAATATGAATTTAGAAATTCTAAAATAAAAAATAACTGTCTTGTTTTTCCAATTATTTTTTCAAATTTCAGACCATTTACACAAATTCTTCTCCTACTAAATATAATAGATAAACCAATATTTAAATTAACCTCTAAAAATATATAAACAATAGGTAAAAGTTTTGGAATGTAATTGAGAGAAAAGAAAAGAGAATTTGGGTGGTAAAGAATATATTATTTGCGCGTTTTCTGCAAAAAGACGTTTATTTAGTAATTATTTATTGAATGATTTTTGTTTGTTATCAACACCAAAAATAAATAAATAAATAAATATTTAATTGTCCTAACAAAATAAATATATTTTCTTTTATAAATCGATTAATAAAGAAAAATAAATAAATTCCTTAATCAAACCTTTAATCAAATAAATTATTAAAATAATAATTTGTTAAATTTTATTTTTCTTTAATTTTTAAAATCAAATCTTTTTTAATTAAAAAATATTTTTAGTAACAATTTACCGAAATTATTTTTAAGGAGAGAATAATTTCTACATTTTTATTAAGAAAATTAAATTAAACCTCTAATTAATATTTCTAGTGGGTACACCCCAACGTACCGCGAGGCCAACTTAACGGAGAGCTAAACTTCGTTCAAAATGGTCGAATCTGGGACGCCCTAATATGTTTTGATTCAGTTCGTCGAGCTGCATCGAACAATACCAGGTACGTTGGGCTCGCGGTACATTGGCCTGCTCCCATTTCTAGTATTAAGTACTCAAACTATGATAAATTATTTTTTTCAAACAGAATTATCATTTTTATTTTAGGATATCTTGAACAAGAAATATATTTTAACTAATCGGAAGACTGTTTATAAGTAAAATATATTTATATTAATTTTATATAGCTATTTATATAGGGTAAGTAAAAATAAACGGAAGAAGAACGGTCGAACAGCGTGTCCTCTACGAGCAAAAGAAAATTAAAAAAAGGAGGGGAAATTTTAAACTTGTTAAATTTAGAAGAGAAGAGATTGAGAATGAGAGAATAAAATACCGGCTGTTTGTTGAAAAAAAGGGGAAGAAGAATTATTGCGGTAAAAATAAATTGAAACTCTGCCGTTGGTCGACAATCTTATTTTAAAGATTTTTTTTCTAAATTTTTTTTCTTCACATTAATTTGCCTTTTCTGCACTCATCGCAAATCATTTTCATTCAAAAAATACTTTTTCTCAAATGTCTTCTAAATTTAAAAATTTTTTGATTGGCAATACCTCCTCTCTTTTGGAGGGGGGATGATTGCAAATTAATTAAATGAATAAATAATCGAGAATCGAGATTTTTAAAAAAATTAATTAAAATAAATATTCAAATCAGAAGCTTCTCATGAATCTTTCAAATTAAATTTAGTATTGTATAATTTAAAAACTAAAGAAGCCCTCTCTCCCTCATTCCCCCTACTCCCTCCGCCTCACTTAAAACCTCTAAAAATATATTTAATTTAAAAATATAAAATCGAGAAAAAAATATCGAGATTTTCTCGAATATATTTTTATTCTTTGTCCACAGGAAATGACCCTTTCCATTTAGAGCGGAGGTCAATTATCTACGTGAAGGTGGAGAGAAGAGCAAAAGGGGGTAATTAACATTCGCGTCTAATAAATCTTTGGTTTTTAGTTGATCAAAAAGAGTGAAACGCGTGGGCAATTTTTGTGTGAATATTAAAATATATAAATTATTCAAAAATTAAGCCAAAAATTGGAAAAGAATAAAAAAATAATTTTGTAAGGGCGTCATCATCTGTTTATTTAATTAATTAGAAGAATTGCATAAATATATATTATATTGTGTTTTGTTTAATAAATCTTTTTTTGAAAAGATTAAAGGTTAAAAATATATTTTAATTATTTAAATAATTAATTTAAAATTTATAAATTCAAAAAAAATATAAAATAAAAATAATAAAATAGAACAGAAATGAAAATATTTTTAAAATAACAACAAAAAACATTCTCAAATATAAAAAATTAAATCCGATTAATGCTTAGATAAATAAATATATTATTAGGTCATTTTAGATTTATGTCGAAATTTTGTTTCTTTTACAATTTAACACTAAAATAAATCAAATTACATAGTTCTTGATTAAAGAAATTATTTAAAGATTTTATATTATTAGTGGATAACTGACAATTTTTTAAATAAAAAATATAAATCTGTTAATTTAAAAAAGGTAATCTAAAATAATAAAGAAAGAAGAAAAAATATTTTAACTGAATAAGATATTTCCTTTAAAATTATTTTTAAATTTGTCATTTATTTTTTTATTTTTATTTTTAACTTAAATATATATTAATTTATATATTTTCATTAAATTTAAAAAAACACGTAGCAAAGTAAATTTAATTTTGTTGTCATCAATTTAAAAAATAAAAAAAAATATGAAAAAATATTTAAAAATATTTTTATTCGAAGATTTAAATTTCAAAGAATTATTTTTTAAAAATATAAAAAAATTATCAATCAAAAATTGCAAAATTTACACTGTTCTTTAAAAGATATTTGGGGGATTTTACGGAAATAAATTAAAAAAAATATTTTTAACAAATTAAATGACAGACTATTTAATTATTTTTTTAAAAAAGATTTTTTTAAAAAAAAAGGGAAGGTCACGTAATTGTGAAGGGTAAATAATGTAAACTGATCGGGAATAGAAAAAAGATATATTACGAAAGAATGGCGCCGTACTGGTTAATAAATAAATTTAAAAAAATATTTTAAATAATTTAATTTAAATTTTAGTTATATTAAAAGAGTTAAAATTAATTTAAAAATTAATTTTGGTAATTACAAAAAAATTATAAAATATCTTTTAAAAAATAGGAGCTTTAAATATTTTTGTGCCTGCCTAGAAAGTAATTACTTTTCTATCATAATTAAAAATTTTTTAAAAGCTTTCCAAAAGAAAACTCGTAAAAAACAAAATAATTTATTGAAAGGAACATAAAATAATTTTTAGCTGATTATCCTTTTTTTACGATGTTCCTTTTCTACCTGGAAAGAGGCTAAGGACAAGCTGGATTAAAAGAACAAAATTTTTGGAAGAATAATAATAAAAAAGGTTTTTTTTGTTATAGTAGTAAATACTGCTGCCCCTTGAAGAGTTTGTATAAAAATAAAATAAAAATAAATAATAATTATTTAGATACAATTTCTGAAAGAAAAAAAGGAACAAAAAAACTAAAAATATTCTTTCGTCTAATAAAAAGAATAAAATACTATTTTTATTTGAAAATTTATGGATTTGTATTTGAGGAAAGACGCGCGACAACGGTTCAAGTACCAAAAGAACAAAAATAATTTTAGTTTAAAAATAAATTTTAAAAAATATTTTTTTATTTTAACATTAATTGAAAGTATTCGTTAATAGAGTTTAAAAAAACATTTATTTATTTAAATTAAAATCAAGGAAAGTTGTCTGTTTGGAACTGAAACTAAGAAAGAATTGTTCAAATCTTCGGTTCGATTCCGATCTGAATATTCTCCAAGAACTAACAACTCTAAAATTAATTTTACAAAAAAAAACTTTCTTTTTAAATTAATGAATAAATTATTCAATTTATTTTATACTAACTCTATATTTATCTTTAAAAAGCTATTTTAAGCCTTTTAAAAAATAAACATTTTTGATATAAAAATATGAATAAACAAATTAGTCATATAACAAATATTTAACCACAAATCAAAACAGACATAAAAATATTTTTGATTAAAATATACGTAAATACTTTTCATTCCTAAAAAATGTTTTTTTTTAATTTTTATTTTATGTTTTGTTATTCTTATTCATTTAATTGTTCTTTATTTTTTAAATAAAAATATTTTGTTTAAAATTTTTGGCAATTTTTCATATTTTTCTTTTTTCTAGTTTAATTTAAAAAAGCTTTTTAAAAATCTATTTTTGAGAATTTTCATTCTTTTTTGATTAAAATATTTTTTTCAATTTTCGTTTAACTAACAAAAACATTTAAATATGTATTTGAAATTAAAAATTAAAAGAAATTAAAAAGATTTTAACAGTCTGTCACTAAATATTTTAAAGTAATTATTTATTATAATAATAAAATTTAAATAAATAAAATGCGTCATTGTAATAAATAAACCAAAAAATATTTTTATTTATTTTATTTTTAATAAAATTTGTTAAAAAAGAAAAGACTATTTTTATATAAAAAAAATTATTTTTTTTTAATTTTTATTTTTTAAAAATCAGTTAATTCAATGTTTGCTAAATTTTTTAAAAGAAAAATTGTTTGTCTGTTAATTAGTAAATAAATATATTTTGAAAAAAATTTTTAAAGTGCAAATATATTTAGAAGAAATAGCAAAGAATTTATTTTAATTAAGTTAGTAAAAATAATTTTTGAGAAAAATAAATAAAATAATTTTTGTATCTGACTTAAAATTTTAGTCAAAAATAATTTTTAATAGGAAAAGATTTTGAGGAAAAAACATTTTTTGTAGAAAAATTAAAATTATTTTTAAATAAAATATTTATTTATTTATTTTTCTGAACAAAAATGGCCCAATTTCTTCCATTTTTGTAGTAGAAAAATAAAAATATAAATAAATTTGTTTTTTAATGTCCTAATTTTATAAAAAATAAAAGAGAACAAGTTTTGGAATTTTCTCTTT